AAGCCCCCCCCCCAGACTGTTGGGAGTGACTGTTCACAAGTGTCCATCCTGGCCCATCCCTCTGTGGTTGCCCCGGGACAACTGCCCAAGGTGGAGGGTGGGGAGGGCCCTGAACTCTTCCTCCTCTGCTCTTGGCTTCCACCCTGGGGCGCCGGGAGAGTGACCCGCAGAGGTGGACCCGACGCTTCCTCTGCTGGCAGCTGTTCCAGCTGTGTTCTTCTTGGCGTTGGCGTCTGCACTTCCCTCTTTATCCTGTCCCAGCTCTGGGCAGCGCCCTGACTCATTCAAGCTCCTCTCTAGGGGGCACCCCCCTGAACCCCACATGTGACCCACCCCCCGACTTGTTCAATGATATGTCCTAGGGTGTTGGCTCTGGGGGCAGGCCGGCTAGACCTTCCTTGTGGCTGGTTCAGAGCAAGGAGCAGGGTCCCCACCTCCCACCCCAGCCGCACAAGGTGGATCCCAAGCCCAGGTGGGTGGGCTTGGGGTGTGTATGCAGAGGTAGGCCGGGGACGGGGTGGGGGGGGGACTGCAGTCTTGGATCCCGATTCTGGCTCCGTCTGTGCCTCAGTTTCCCCTGCTGTGACGCAGGTGGGTGCACGTACACGCCCTGTGCTGTGTAAGGAAATACAAGAGTGGGGGAGCAAGCCCCTGCCTCAGTTTATCACCTTTAAAGTCCACCTGGTACCGCCACACCCTTGGTGGTGGGGGTGTGTGTCCCTGGGTGTTCTATCCCCCAACTCGGGGGTCCGCAGGCACCTCCCACACCCCTGAATGGCAACTCTGCTGTGTGGACCCCTACACACACTGAAAATGGGAACTCTGCCGTGTGGACCCCCACACGCCCCTGCATGGGAGCTCTGCCGTGTGGACCCCCACACACGCCCCTGACCCCCTGCATGGGAGCTCTGCCGTGTGGACCCCCACACACGCCCCTGACCCCCTGATTGGGAACTCTGCCGTGTGGACCCCCACACACGCCCCTGATCCCCTGATTGGGAACTCTGCCGTGTGGACCCCCACACACGCCCCTGCATAGGAGCTCTGCCGTGTGGACCCCCACACACACCCCTGACCCTCTGATTAGGAGCTCTGCCGTGTGGACCCCCACACACGCCCCTGACCCTCTGATTAGGAGCTCTGCCGTGTGGACCCCCACACACGCCCCTGATTGTGAGCTCTGCCGTGTGGACCCCCACACACGCCCCTGACCCTCTGATTGGGAACTCTGCTGTGTGGACCCCCACACACGCCCCTGACCCTCTGATTAGGAGCTCTGCCGTGTGGACCCTGGCCAGCGCCGCTCCCCCAGCGCGGGGCCTCGGCCACGCGGTCGTTGTTGCCCCGGAGGGCGGCCCGGCGTGCTCGTCTCCTCCTTGTCCCTCACTGTTTCCACGCGTGTCGGCCGTTTCCCCCCCCCGGCCTTCCTGCCACGCGCGCCCTTCCCCGGGCGCCCCCTCACGCGCCCCACGCCGCCATGCGCGAACGTGGCCCGCGGCGGCCTCCCCCGCCCCCCCCACACCCCCTGCGCGCGCCCCCGGGAGGCGGGGCCAGCGCCGGCAGCTCGCCCGCCCATTGGCTGAGCGCGAGGGCGGCGCTGCGGCCGCCGTCAGGGCCCGGCCTGGATTCCTCGGGGCGGAAGACGCGCAGGGACGTCGACGGCTGAGCGGGCGGGGTGGGCGTGGCCTCGGGAGGTGTGGCGCGCGCGCGCGCGCGAGAGAGAGAGCGAGAGACAAACAAGGAACCCACCAATCCCGGAGCTGCTCTGGCGGCCCCGCCCACCCCTCCACCCCTCCAGGCCTGAGCGTGCGCCGTAGGTCTCCGAAGACTTGCGCAGCACCGAGCGGGTCCGCCCTTGTTGGACACTGACTTACACTCCCCGAGGACCCCCCTCCACTCGCGCTGGGAACCGACCAATCCCGAGGCGAGCTGTAGCTGGGCGGGTGGTAGGGAGGGGGGCCGTAAGTCTCCGACGAGCGCCGCAGCACGAGGCCCCGAGAGGCGCTCCGCTGACAGGATTCCAAGAGGGCGGAATGTGGCCGTGGGCTGAGCCGGGGCTGGGAGGAGGACGAGGAGGAAGAAGATGGGGTTCGGGGGACCCCGGCTGAGGCCGCCGGCCAAGGGGGAACGGCTTGTAGGAGTTTAGCAAAGTCTCACAGTCGGGGGTGGGCGGGCGCCGGGGCCCGGGGCCCGGGGCGCCATCTTCCACTTGGAAATTTCTGGAAAGCGGTCTTTTTTTTTTTTTTTTTTGAGAGGCGAGGGAATAGTAACATCTTAGGAGGTTTCATTTTTTTTTTAACTCCAGACTCGCCTTTTATGTCTTTTTTTTTTTTAAACCCTTCGTTTTCTAAAAATGCGAGGTTGCAGTTTTAAAAGGCTTTTTTCTTCGTTTTCGGTATATGTGAAAGGCACCGATCGCTGGGATCTTCCAGCTGCTGGTCACTCCCCATCTCCCCCAAGGGACCACAGGGACCAGGCAGGAGCCAGGAGTTCGGTCTGCGTCTCTCCCCCGTGGGAGGGAGCTGCAGCCGGGGGCGGGAATCGAACCCGCAAATGGGACAGAGGTGTCTTAACCAATCAGGGCGTGCACCTGCCCCCGACCCCCAGCAGTTGTGCCAAGGGGTGTTGAAGAAGTAGCTAGAAGCTGCTGACTGACTTCTCAGAACACACAGATTCCCCAGGAAATATTCCCCTCAACTTTTCCTTGGCATTCTTGTTGAATTCTGGGATTTTTTTTTTTTCCTTCTATCTTTGCCCCTGCTGCTTTTCCAGGCGCAACAGCAGGGAACTGGATAAAGTGGAGCAGTCGGGATTTGAACTTGGGCTGCTGCAGGTGGCTGTGGAAGCTGCCTGCCCCCCCACCCCAATTCCTTTTAGGTAGTTGCTGCTGGCATGATAAAATTTGCTGCTTTTAGAAACTAAAAAAAAGAAAAGAAAAGAAAAGAAAGTCCATGTGGGGGCCTGGCGGCGTGGCCTAGCGGCTAAAGTCCTTGCCTTGAACTCGCCAGTATCCCATATGGGCACTGGTTCTAATCCCAGCAGCTCCACTTCCCATCCAGCTCCCTGCTTGTAGCCTGGGAAAGTAGTGGAGCGTGGCTCAGGTGCCTGGGCCCCTGCACCCGTGTGGGAGAGCCAGAGGGGTTGCTCCTGGCTTTTGTCTGCGACCAGGCACTGTCCCAGCAGCTGTCATGGCCATTTGGGGTGGAAGGGGAGGGTGTGTGAATTAGCTGATGGATGTTCTTCTCCCCTCCTTCTATAACTTTCAAATAAAACTAAATATTTAGAAAAAAAATTTTTTTGACCCTTCCTGTTGTGCCTTTGAAGCGGAAAATGAGAATAAAGAGAAATTTTACGAAGCAGATGCAGAAAAGTGCCATTGTCTTCTCCCCCAGCCCTGGTGACCTGGGTCACCCCACTTCTGCTTTTAGCAGGCTTCGTGTAGCCAGGCCGCGTCCCCGCCTGCCTCCTGGCCACGGTCACAGGCATCTGATGGCTTCCCTAAGCGGTGGCTGGGCCGGAAGGTTCAGGCTCCTTTGGGAGCGATGTCTGTCTTGCTTCTGACAGTAGGAGTTGATCTTCCAGCCCAGGAAATGGGCCCTTTCCTGTTCTCAGGCCGGTTTTGGCAGACAGCGGGGGGTCCGTCTTGCAATATTGCTTCCTGCAATTGAGCCTCTAGCTGGAGAGATGAGAAGTGATGACGCTGATGATGGCGGCACGCAATGGGCCCTGCACCTGTGCCTGTCTTAACGCCTGCGATTCGGACTCACTGGAGGCAGCGAATGTTTCAGATTTGGGCTAGGGTGTGTGTGTGTGTGTGTGTGTGTGTGTGTGTGTGTGCGTGCGTGCGTGTGGCGGACACGAACAGGTGTCTCGCCTTGTCTAACAGCCCGGGAGGACAGTGGCCTGTCCAGCAGCTGGATAGTGCATGGTCGTGGGAGGCGTTCTCGGTCTTCCGGTCTTGTGGGAAGCTACATGTACTAGTAGAAGTGGACTTGGGTATCGGCCAAGGGTTACCTTGGAAACGGAGGGAAGAGGGGCCCGGGGGTAGCTCTGAGCAGCCGAGGAGGGGGGCATATTCACCTGCCGTGGCTGGCTTCACTGATGGAGGCCGGGCCAAGGGTACGGCTAAAAACACGGAAAAGAACTCGAGTCAGGCAGGTCTCCAAGGTGGAGGTGAGAGTTGGGAAAGAGACCCAAGGTCCTTAAACACCTGTTGCAACGCCCACTCCCCCTCCTGTACTCCTTCCAGGGATGCTAGCAAGAGAAGCAGAAGCAGGACTCGAACCCGGGCCCTGCAGAACGGGCTGTGGGTATATCCGCCAGTGGGGCCGAGTCTTCACTCCAGGAAGGCTGTATGTCCGTCCGATGATTCACTCCCCAAGTGCCTGTAATGGCCAGAGCTGAGCTGATCTGAAGCCAGGAGCTTCTTCTGGGTCTCCCGTGTGGGTGCAGGGTTCCAAGGCTTTGACTGCTTTCCCAGGGCACAGGCAGGGAGCTGGATGGGAAGCGGGGCCGCCAGGATTAGAACCGGTGCTCATATGGGATCCCAGTGCTTTCAAGGGGAGGATGTTTAGGTGCTAGGCCACCGCACCGGGCCCTACTCTGTATTTTTACTGATGCTTCCTGTTGGGGTCTGACACCTGCCATGATGTGTGTGTGTGTGTGTGTGTGTGTGTGTGTGTGTGGGGTGTGTATTCTCCCCCTTGGGAATTGCCCTCCACTTAACAGCCCGTACCACAGTACCCGGCTTCGAGTCTTGCTTCTGCCTCTCTTACTAGCTTCCCTCCACTTGGTTGGGAGGGTTGGATCTTAACAGAAGTGCAAGCGCAGTGCAGGTGTGGCGAACGCGGGTTCTGTCGAGCCCGGCTTGGTCCCAGTGGTCCCCCCACCCCTCGCTCTCCTCCCACCACCCCGTTCCCCCCCGGGGGCGCTGGATTGAACTGACTGAACAATTGTACTTTTCTGTGTCTCCCCCCCCAACCCCGCATCCCCTGCTGCAGTGTGCCCCACCGCCTGCAAGTCGCACGGCTGTACCGCCGAGGGCCTCTGCTGTCACAGCGAATGCCTGGGCAACTGCTCCGAGCCCGACGACCCCACCAAGTGTACCGTGTGTCGTAACTTCTACCTGGAAGGCCGCTGCGTGGACACCTGCCCGCCGCCCTATTACAGCTTCCAGGACTGGCGTTGTGTGACCTTCAGCTTCTGCCAGGAGCTGCACAACAGGTGCAGGAACTCGCGGAGGCAAGGCTGCCACCAGTACGTCATCCACAACAACAGGTGCCTCCCCGAGTGCCCCTCGGGGTACACCATGAACGCCAGCAAGTGAGTGTCCTTACCTGGGCCTGGGGGTGCGGGGCGGGCGGGCGGGCGGGCATGTGGGAAGGGGTTTGGTCAGGGTTGAACCAGGCTGGTGCAGGGGGCGACAAGGCTGGCAACAAGAACTGTGGCAAGTGACGTGTTTGGAACTCTCGGAGGTCATTTTATTATTAATAATAAAATCATCATCATTATTAATTATCATTAATCATACTAATAGTTATTACTAATTATCACCAATATTTTGTAGCTGTTTAATAATTTCTAATAATTATAGTTTTATTATTAATAATATTATTAATTATTAATAATTATATAAAATGGTTATTATTAATAGTTTAAGGATTTATTTATTTTTATTGGAAAGGGAGATACACAGAGAGGAGGAGAGACAGAGAGGAAGATCTTCCGTCTGATTCACTCCCCAAGTGAGTGCAACGGCTGGTGCTGAGCTAATTCCGAAGCCAGGAGCCAGGAGCTTCTTCTGGGTCTCCCATGCAGGTGCAGGGTCCCCAAGGCGTTGGTCCATCCCTGACTGCTTTCTCAGGCCACCAGCAGGGAGCTGGATGGGAAGTGGAGCAGCCGGGATTAGAACCAGTGCCCTTATGGGATCCTGGCACTTGTGAGGGGAGGATTAGCCAATTGAGCTATTGTGCCGAGCCTGAGATAAGTAGAGAGCCGGATGGCAAATGGAGCAGCTGGGACTCGAACCTGTGCCCCTTTAGCTCACAATCTTGGCTTTCTATTATATATCTTTTTTTTTAACCTCGTGCTTTTGACCTGGGCTTTGAGGCAAGAGTCGGCGGTGTTCTCTTTTTCTGTGAAGAACACCGCGTGCCACCACCACCTGTCAGCCCGCCTTGCTTAGAACCCGTGCCTTGGATGCCGTGGAGTTTTCCCACGGCCTCCAGGTGCGGCCCCTGGCACTGTGTCCAGGAGGAAGGGGGTGTTCCCTCCCTGTCCCCCCTTTTCCCTGGCCATGACTCATATTCTTCTGACCCGAGTTATTGCGGTGTCCCTGACCGAGTTGAACAAATCCGTTTCCTGTTTTATGTGTGTGTGTGTGTTGGATGTTTGTTCTGTTTCCCACGCCGCCAAACAACGCATGAACGGGAGGCACACGCGTCTGTCAGGTCCCGAGGCCTCTGATTCCATCTCAGACTTGCCAGTGAGCCGAGCCAGCGTGTTTGGGAGGGAAACGAGGACCCCGGGGCTGGAGAGGGTGGAATGGGAAGCGATCTTGCTGTGGTCCCCCCCCAAACCCCCGAGTGGCCGTCTAGTGGGCTGCTGCGTGTCCTCCTCATCAGGTGGCCTATTTTTGGCTCCCGGATGGGTCTCTCCGAGTGACCTGGATGCGACTCCGTAGCACCAGGAGGGCCGGGGATACGACCCTGTTCTTTGGATGTCTGTACTGTTGCCTTTTGAAACTGATGGAAGAATGGGGAATGACCGTGGCCTGGCGAGGTGTCTGTGGACCAGGACTTGGCTTTGGGGTCACAGGCGTTGGCCTGTCGCTGTCCCTGGGGCGTGGGGCACAGAACCACCTCCCCTGGATGTCCTTGCTCTGCGCGCTGGACAGAAGGCCAGGATAGAAGTTGGAGAAGTTGGCTCTGCATCTGGGACCGTCCCTGGAGGAGGGGAAGCATGGGTGTGGGTGCGAGTCGGGTTGGGCTGCAGTAGTGTAACTCTATAGATTTAAAAAAAATTATTTATTTTCATTGGAAAGTCAGATTTACAGAGAGGAGGAGAGACAGAAAGATCTCCCATCTGATCATTCACTCCCCAAGTGGCCGCAGTGGCCTGAGCTGAGCTGATCTGAAGCCAGGAGCCAGGAGTTTCTTCCGGGTCTCCCACATGGGTGCAGTGTCCCAAGGCTTTGGACCGTCCTCCACTGCTTTCCCAGGCTACAGGCAGGGAGCTGGATGGGAAGCGGGGCTGCCGGGATAAGAACCGGCGTCCATATGGGATCCCGAGATTGCAAGGTGAGAACTTTAACAGCTACGCTATCACGCCGGACCCAAAACAGCAGGTGGAAGATCTCTCTGACTGCCTTTAAAATCAATAAGTGAACGCTTCTAGTGGAGCAGCCAGGACATGAACCGGTACCCATATAGGATGCTGGTGTCCCGGTGGTGGCTTTAACTGCGCCCTGACAAAAGCAGTGCTACCATGGAGGGAATTGCAAAGGTGTTGAGACCAGGTGGAGCCCAGGAGTGTCACACTCCACACTGGGTGCTGATGCCCAGGCCAGCCTCGCCTCCCCACCACTGCTGGGAGCAGGTGTCTGGCCCCGGATGACGACAGTGTCCAGGTCTTGTCTTGAGGGATCGAGGGACGGTCCCTGGAATCCTTGTAGGGATCACCTAGAACCTGGCAGAGCGCGCACACACACACACACACACACACACTAATCCTTCCCGCGTCCGCTTTATCCTCAGCTTGATGTGCACGCCGTGCCTGGGTCCCTGTCCCAAGGTGTGCCACCTGCTGGAAGGCGAGAAGACCATCGACTCGGTGACATCCGCCCAGGAGCTCCGCGGCTGCACCGTCATCAACGGCAGTCTGATTATCAACATCCGGGGTGGCAGTGAGTACCCTGCAGCGGGGTGGTGGGGGTGGGAGGGGCGGTTGTTGTGGGGGTGGGGAGCAGCTGGCGGCAGGGAAGAGACAGCCCGGCCACACCCAGGCATGTGCCCCAAACCCAGATGTGGACAGCTCAGTCCAGGTTCCATCTCCTCGGAGAGTATCACTGTCGAGTTAGGGTCGGCGGGGAAGGGGGTGCTCAGGGACGCTGGCCATTTTTGGGGTGGGGTGAGGTGGGGTGGGGGTTTCGTTTTGGCTGTAAAAGGAACAGAGGGTGATGTGGCTTGGCCTTGCGAGGGCTGCAAGTTCAAGATCGGGAGGCCCCTCATGTTTGGCTTTTGGCTGTGTTGATACTGGGTGTGTGTGTGTGTGTGTGAGAGAGAGAGAGAGAGAGAGAGAGGGAGGAAGGAGCCAGGCATGACCCACCAGCCCCCCACCAGGCTGTACTTCCTTATCTCCCAACCCCACCACACTGAGGACCAAGCGCCCAGTACCCGACCCCTCAGGGCTCGGCTCCCAACCCACCCAGACCGTGGCAGCCAGCCCTCAGCCCCACGAGCGCTCATGTTTCCCACCGTTAACACAGCTTGCAGGGGCTCGGTCCCCAGGAATCCTTACGTGTCCCAGGGTCACTCCGGGGCTCCGGAGTCGTGCTTGCCTGCGACTTAACACCAATACTTTTCATCCTCTTAGATGCTTCCAAGGCAGAGCAGGGAGCACTCTGTACCTTTAAAACGTGTTTATGTGGCAAGCAGAAGAGAGGGAGGCAGAGGGAGATTCTTGGAGCAGCTGCTGGTTCACTCACTCTCCAAACGCCTGCTCCGGCTGGAGAGCGGGGGAGGCCAGGCTGCAGTCAGGAACTGGGAGCCCCATTCAGGTCTCTCCCATGGGAGTAACAGGAACTCAGGCACAGGAGCCGTAATCCCACCCCTGTTGCCTCCTGGAATGCAAGTCCTACATTACAAGCAGGTGCCCTAAGCAGTGTGTTAGCTGCCACATCAAATGCCCTCCCCCATGGGGGAGCCTACCTTTTGAGCTAGCGGATAGCATGCCCGTTGAGATGCAAGAACCCAGGCGAAGTGGGGGTGGGTGGTTGGGTGGGTGTGTGAAATCCCCCCACAGACAAAAAGCATGTTCTTCCGTGTCCTTGGACACCTGTGGGATCCCCCGTCCCACCAGGGCGGCCAAGCTCTGGGGGACCGGTGGTTAAGCCCTTGGGGACCAATGCCTGGTGGTGATATCTTGGTCAGCAGGCATGGTGTGTCCCCCACAGTGGCAAAGCCCTTGACATGTGGTTCTTGGGGACCGGTGGTGAAGCCCTTGAGGACCAACGGGTCCGTGCCTGGTGATGAGATCTTGGTCAGCAGGCGGAAGCGAAGCGAAGCAGAGCGAGTCGGTGGCTCCTTGAATCCCGCAGGAGGGCGCGATGCGCATGTGCAACGCCCACAGTGCGCCTGCGAACTTGGCAACTTTGCGTCACGTCTGAGACGTTAGCCACGGCACGCAGCTTTCTGCCGCGTCGTGTCACAAAGCCACGCCCCAGCAGAAGGAAGCAGGCATGCATGCGTTGGGTGGAGAAGGGGCGCTCTCTCCTCCCGCGTGCTTCCTCCCTGCGGTTGGCGGCACGCACGTGTGGACTGAGAGCCTGCGGCCGCAGAGGGCTGGCTGCGTGCGGCTGGCTTTGCAGGCTGGACAATTGCGGTTGTAACTGCCCAGCGCTGCGATTATGGCACGAAACGCAGCCCTGGACACGCGCCAGCCCGTGGTGGGCTTTGGCGCTGCTCCAGTGAAATGTTGCATTCGGTCACTGCCAAGCCTTGCCTAGAAAGTAAAGCAGATTGCTGTTTTATTTACTGGGTTTTTTTTTTTTCCTGGTTAAAGATTTATTTATTTTTATTACAAAGTCAGATATACAGAGAAGAGGAGAGATAGAGAGGAAGATCTTCCGTCTGATGATTCACTCCCCAAGTGAGCGCAATGGCTGGTGCTGTGCCGATCCGAAGCCAAGAGCCAGGAACCTCCTCCAGGTCTCCCGTGCGGGTGCAGGGTCCCAAGGCTTTGGGCCGTCCTCCACTGCTTTCCCAGGCCACAGCAGGGAGCTGGATGGGAAGTGGAGCCGCCGGGATTAGAATCGGTGACCCTATGGGATCCCGGGTGCGTTCAAGGTTAGGACTTTAGCCGCTAGGCCATGCCGCTGGGCCTATTTATTTATTTTAAAAGATGCCATTCTTTCTTTGAAAGACAGACTGGCAGAAAAAGAGAAAGGGGGAGATGAGAGAAGAGGTTGGCATTGTGGGGGCAGTTTCTGGGCTTTCGGGTGCGCGTGGAACATTCCAGGCATGCGTGTAGAGACGTCACCATCCAGGCAGCAGGGTGTGAAGGTTCAAGGGCAGGAACATGCTTGGCCCACGTCAGGCCATGGTGAGACTTTGGGGTTGCCCATCAGGCCTGCCTGCCCGCGGGGGTGTGGACACGACTTGCCCAGCCTGTTGGCCAGCTCGTCAACCTTGGGAGATGTGGGAAGGTTGCGATATTGTGCTGGAAACCCGCACAACGCTCTTCTCTCCGTAGACAACCTGGCGGCTGAGCTAGAGGCCAACCTGGGCCTCATTGAAGAGATTTCGGGATATCTGAAAATCCGCCGCTCCTACGCTTTGGTGTCGCTCGCCTTCTTCCGGAAGTTACGTCTGATTCGCGGGGAGACCCTGGAAATCGGGTAAGTGATCTCTCCCGGGGAACCTCCCCTGACCTCCTTCGTCCTAGTGGTTTCTGCTTGGCATCTTCCGGGGCTGATGTGGGTCACGTGACTGATGCTAGCTAAGAGGATGGCTTTTCTAGCCCTGGATGGGGCACGGTCCTGCCGTTTAATACGTCCATTCTCTTGTTTTATGGAAGGATTTTTTTTTTTTTTTTTGGACTCTCGTTGGTGTCTGGCCTCTGTTGATTAAAGTAGCTAAAATGGAAAAGAAAAGAAAAAAAGGCTGGATAGACGGTTTCTCTCAGCCATGGCAACACTTGGCTCTCGCCACTCGACAGCTCTGTGTTGGGTACCAAGCCAGCGCTTGGGGCAGCAGGGGGCTGGGGTTGTGCGGGAGGCATGGCTCTGCCCCAGGCTGACCTGCTCTGTGTATCTGCGTGTGTTTCTATAGAAACTACTCTTTCTATGCCCTGGACAACCAGAACCTGAGACAGCTGTGGGACTGGAGCAAACACAACCTCACCATCTCCCGGGGCAAGCTTTTCTTCCATTACAACCCCAAGCTGTGCCTGTCGGAGATCCACAGGATGGAGGAAGTGTCTGGTACCAAGGGGCGCCAGGACAAGAATGACATCGCCCTGAAAACCAATGGGGACCAGGCTTCCTGTGAGTCTCGTGGGTGGGTGGGTGCGGGGGGCGGTGCTCTCGGCCTTGCACGAAGGGAGCAGGGGTGCTTTGCTTTGGTTGGTGGCGACTCTGGCGGATGGCTCAGTTGGTTTGTGCGAGGAGCCTCGTTGCCCGATGGGAGCTTGCTTCCACGCATTCACGGAGCAAGGCACTCACAGTCCCGTTGGTCACACTGGGGGAAAGAGAGAGAGAGGCGCAGGTGGGACCAGGCCCCTGGAGGGAACGGCGTGTGGAGGGTCCTTTGGCACAGTCCCTGTGGGCAGTGTGTGGAGTGACACGCTACTTCGCTCTGCAATGGCTCGACGCTGATATTATGTGTGTGTGTGTGTGTCCAAACCCTTCTAGGTGAAAACGAGTTACTTAAATTTTCTTCCATCCGGACAAGCTTTGACAAGATCCTGCTGAGGTGGGAGCCGTACTGGCCCCCCGACTTCCGAGACCTGCTGGGGTTCATGCTGTTTTACAAAGAGACGTGAGTAGAATGTTAACAGAGGAGGAGCAGTGGGAAGGTGGAACCCAGCCCCTGCCTGTCAAAATAGATTTCCCCAGCAGCTCTGGCTGGGCCCTTCCCAACATCCCCAGGACTGTTCCTCTCCCACTCCGTGTGTCCAATAGTTCAATCAGAAGCTCCTTTTCAGATGTTCATTTTTCTTTTTTAAATAAAAGATGTATTGAATTTGGGCCCAGCGCAGTAGCCTAGCAGCTAGAGTCCTCACCTAGCCCATCACACAGCATTCTAGCCCGGTGACGCCTCACGCTGCAGAACATTCTAGCTCAACGGCACCTCGCACAACAGAACGTTCTAGGTCCACGACACCTCTCTGCCGAACATTCTAGCCCAGCACACCTCACACGATGGAACGTTCTAGCTCAGTACACGGCACACTACGCAGCATCGATTGCCGTGTGTGTGTGTGTGTGTGTGTGTGTGTGTGTGTGTATGTGGTTGCAGGGCTACCAGCCGCTGGGTATCCCAGCAGAAGCTCCCACCCCATGCCCCTAGCTCAAGGGTAGCTCGGAGTCTCAAGTCCAATGCCCACCAAATAAATACCACTTTTTTTTTTTTTAAAAAAAAGATTTATTTATTTATTGGAAAGTCAGATCTACAGAGAGGAGGAGAGACAGAGAGGAAGATCTTCTGTCCGATGATTCACTCCCCAAGTGAGCGCAATGGCCAGTGCTGCGCCGGTTCGAAGCCAGGAGCCAGGAACTTCTCCCCGGTCTCCTACGCGGGTGCAGGGTCCCCAAGGCTTTGGATCGTCCTTGACTGCTTTCCCAGGCCACAAGCAGGGAGCTGGCTGGGAAGCAGAACTGCTGGGATTAGAACCGGCGTCCGTATGGGATCCCCGGGTGCGTTCAAGGCGAGGACTTTAGGCACTAGGCCACTGTGCGGGGCCCCAAATAAATACCACTCTAAGACCACCATGAGCTTAAGCTATCCTTGGTACCTCACGGCCATCATCATTATTGTAACTTTGTATCGGAGACGTCTGAGCTGGCGGTCCCTCTGTCCCTCTCTTTGCTTTGTGGTGGGAGATGGTTGGGTGGGTGAGAGGCAGTCTCCTGGGATGTATCTCCCCCCCGGGGGGGGATGGGTGCTCCAAAGTGAAGGTCGCCTGGCGGTCGGTGAGCGCCTCCCCCATGCTTTGTTCCCCCAAAGCCCCTACCAGAACGTGACGGAGTTCGACGGGCAGGACGCGTGTGGCTCCAACAGCTGGACCGTCGTGGACATTGAGCCACCCCTGAGATCCAACGACCCCAAGTCGCAGATCCATCCGGGCTTTCTGATGCGTGGCCTCAAGCCCTGGACCCAGTATGCCATCTTCGTGAAGACCCTTGTCACTTTCTCTGATGAGCGCCGGACGTACGGGGCCAAGAGTGACATCATCTATGTGCAGACAGACGCCACCAGTATGTGTTTCCCCGGGGGGGACACGAGGCTCTGTGTGCGTGCGTGCGTGGGTGCGTGCGTGCGCAAAGTGGCACCTCTGAACCTATACCTTCTTTCTCCTTTCTCCCCCCCGGCAGATCCGTCCGTCCCCCTGGACCCCATCTCCGTTTCCAATTCCTCGTCCCAGATCCTATTGAAGTGGAAGCCGCCCTCGGATCCCAATGGCAACATCACGCACTACCTGGTTTACTGGGAAGAGCAGCAGGAGGATCAGGAACTATTTGAGCTAGATTATTGCCTCAAGGGTGAGCGGCCCGGCCCGCGTGGCCCTGCTCCCCTCTGCTGCGGCGGGGGGCCTAGCGAATGGTGGGGAGCGGGGGAGATGGCCAACGACAGGGTCACACGTTGGAAGTTACCAATGGGAGGGCTGACTCCCCGTGTCCAACTCCAGCAGTGGTGTGAGGTTGCCTGCGTCACGGTGGCCAGGATGCTCTCTCTCTTTCTCTCTCTCTCTCTTTGTCTGTTTTGTTGAAAGACTTACAGAGAGAAAAAAAGATCTTCCATGTGCTGGTTCACTCGCCAAATGGCCGCAACAGTAGAGGGCTGAGCCAAGCGGAAGCCAGGAGCCAGGGGGTTTCTTTTGGGTTTCCCTGCCTGGGTGTGGGGACCCCCCAGGCACGTCCTCTGCTACTTTCCCAGGTGCCTCAGCAGGGAGCTGGATGGGAATGGAGTGGCTGGATTTGCTCGGTGTGGGGTGCTGGTGCCGTGGCTGACTGCCTGAGTCCGCTGCACCCCCTTTTTCAGTTTCTTGAGACAAGAAAAAAATGGAAAATCTTCATGGGAACACACAATTAAAAGATGTTCTGTTGGGTGCAGACATTTATTTTTTAAATCCTTGCGGTTTTTTCTTTTAAGATTTTTATTTATTTTTATTACAAAGTCAGATATACAGAGAGGAAGATCTTCCATCCGATGATTCACTCCCCAAGTGAGCGCAACGGCTGGTGCTGTGCTGATCCAGAGCCAGGAGTCAGGAACCTCCTCCAGGTCTCCCACGTGGGTGCAGGGTCTCAAGGCTTTGGGCCGTCCTCCACTGCTTTCCCAGGCCACAAGCAGGGAGCTGGCTGGGAAGTGGAGCTGCCGGGATTAGAACCGGCGTCCATATGGGATCCCCGGGTGCGTTCAAGGCAAGGACTTTAGCCACTAGGCCACCGCGCTGGGCCCTGCATTTTTTTTTCTCTAATAACACCTTTTTCAATGAGCTTTTAAAGATACGTATACATTGCAAAACGCTTTGCACGACAATCCACTTAAGTTTTCAGTTCCATTTGCCACGAGTGTCCTAAAGTGCCCTTGTGGGTGAAGCTGGGTTTTGCAAACTGCCCCCCCCCCCCGGCCACTGCTGCAGTGACGTTTCTTCCTCCGGTCTCCTGTGGGAATTTTTGATTCATTTCTGGTGGAGATGAACACCCTATCGTCACTTCTGCCTGTGACCTCAGGAGGCAGGTGGCGGGGGTGTGGGTGGGGAGAGGACCTCGGATGCCACAGCGTGGCCAGAGCCCAAGGCCCCAGGGCTGCTCGTGGATCAGCCCTTGGCAAGGCCCCGGGGCGGGCAGCAAGTCCCCATCTGCCTCCTTTTTGGGAGAAGTGGCCTGAGGACAGCCGATCCCCGGGTGCTGTTGTCATATTCCTTAAGCTCCAGTGCTATATGTGGCTCTGTGACATCACCCCCGCCTGAGCCCGGGCTTGCAAATTTGATTTATCTTCTTGTGTGCTTTATATAGTCCCAGGGCATGCCCGGCCGCTGGCGGGGTTCCCGGCCTTGCATCCCAGCCCTGGATCCCAAAGCTCGCCCGTGCCTTGTATTCTAAATCTGATTCTCTAATGAGCCAATGGAATGTGAGCGTGTCTGCGTTGTGTCATGGCGTACCCGCGGCGTTTCTTTCAGATCCACTCAGGAGGCGTAGGAATTCCACAGGGATCCTCCAAGACCGGAAGTGGATGGGGGTGGGATGGGATGGGGTGGAGTGGGGGTGGTGCCAGGGGCTGGGAGCGGCGGGGTGGGGGTGGGGAGCTGTTGTTTTTGCCAGATGATGGAGTTCCAGGAATGCGTAATGATGAAGGTTGCCTGGCTGGGCACAGGGGGTGGAAGGGCCCTCTGAGCTGACCCGTGGAAATCTGGGGCAGAGTTCAATTTTGTGGACTGCTGATTCCAGCGGTGGAAAAAGCACATGTACAAACAGACGTGCCCGCTAGGAGCACGGGTGGCTTTGTAATCGCCTCACCCACGCGCGTTTTGTTGTAAATCGCTGTAAAAAAAAAAATGGACGTGGCGTGAAATAATATCAGTGTCACCTTTTGTTTATTGAAAGGTGCTATTTATTTGCATCGGCTGGGATTGGTCTGAAGGCTGAAGGCACGAGCCAGGACCTCCGTGGGGGTGTCCCACGTGGGTGGCCGAGGGGGCTCAGGTCCTTGGGGCATCACCAGCAGCAACAGGGGGCAGGGAGCTGGCTTCAAGGGCATCTGCTGTGGGTGGGATGCTGGCGTCCCCTGGTGGTGACTGCACCGGCTGCACCTGCTGGTAACGTTTGTGGGTCATCTGTGGCTTGAAGCACACGGACCGGGTGCTGTGCTGTGTGATCGTCACAGAGTCCTGGCGCCTCTCGGAGCACCCCAGCCCCAGTCCTACTTCCTGCTGGCGGCAGGCCGTGGCTGTTGGAGAGTGTCAGGAGTTTCCGAGCAAGCATGGGAATCCTCCAGGTGATGGGGTCAGGACCGCTGTGTGTGTGTGTGTTCATAAACACAGCAAAGTGCTTTTAAGGGGGCCCAGCAGCAGGACCCCAGCCAGCATTCCCTACCAGAATGCTGGCTGCTCTAATTCCATTTCAGTTCCCTGCTAAGGCAGCTGGGGATGCGGCCGAGTGCTCGACTCTTGCGCCCCACATGGGAGACCCGGATGAAACTCCTGGCTCCTAGCTTCAGCCTGGCCCAAGACCTATCTGTCGTCACTATTTGGGGAGTGAACCAGTCAAGGAAATATCACTTATTCTGTTACTCTCTGAAATAATTCCAATAAATTGTACAGGTGGCGGTGGGCAATTTGGCACAAGTGGTTAGTTAGATTTTCATGGAGTGGGCGGCAGACAGGTGTGAACCCAAGTGGAGCTCCTGGCTCTGGCCTGTGCCCAGACCCGGCTCCGGCTCTCGGGGTCATTGTGGGAGTGAATCAGTGGAGTTTTTTTCTTCCGATCTCTCTGCCCCCTTCTCTCTTGCCTTTAAGAAAGTGGTTGTTGAAAGAGAGATGTTTTCCCCTTGGCTGGCCTGCCTGGCTGGTCTTGGGTTTGTGAGTGGATGGTCATTGTTGGCAGGAAAGCCCAGTACCCCCATGCTCATTGCCCATGTCTGGGCATGAGAGGGGCATTTTCTTTGCTCAGCGGCTACTGGCAGACCTCAGGCTGGAAGGGGGCTGTTGTGGGACAGGGGGTATTGTGGACAATGCCCTTGGCATTGAACTCATCTCTTTGGAGATGTGTTTTATGCGGAAGACCAAGTGCCAGGGAACAGAAGATCCCTCCAGCTTCTGGGTTGCTCCCCAAAAGCTGTCAGCCGCTAGGGTTGGGCCCAGCCAGAGCCAGGAGCCAGGAGCTGTATCTGGGGTTCTCCCACGTGGGTGGCAGGGACCCCAATACTTGGGCTACCCTCCACTGCTCTTCCAGGTGTGAGCAGGATCAGAAGTAGAGCAGCCGGGATTCGAACCAATGCCCCTATGGGATGCCGGTGCTACAGGTGGCGGCTCCGCCCACTGTGCCACAGCACTGACCCTTCTCAGGCCACTTTTCAGGGAGGCTTATCTCTTGCAGGGCAGCTTGAAGTCCGGCTGTGTCCCAGGCACCCAGTGCCTCTGTGCGTGTGTGTGTTGGGGGGCCTGCTTCGGCTCGCTCCTTTGTGTGCGTGTGTCGGGGAGACTCGAGCCCCCTGTCCCTTCCTGCTCTCTCTCTCTAGGGCTGAAACTGCCCTCGCGTACGTGGTTGCCGCAGTCTGAGTCCGAGCACGCGCAGAAACACAACCAGAGTGAGGCCGAGGACGCGTCGGGCGAGTGCTGTTCCTGCCCCAAGACCGACTCGCAGATCCTCAAGGAGCTGGAGGAGTCGTCCTTCCGCAAGACCTTCGAGGACTACCTGCACAACGTGGTGTTCGTGCCCAGGTCAGGGCGGCTGGCTGCGAGGCAGGGGAGTGATGCGCGAGGGGGCGGGCCCGGGGCGCGGCAGGCAGACGAGGCGTGGTGCACGGGAGGGGGCAGGCGGGCAGGGTGGGGGGCAGAGTGATGCAAGATGCTCTGGCATCCCAGGAGGACCGCCCCCCCCCTTCCCGCAGTGCGACCACCTGCCACGTGCACACTCAAAGCAAAACAAAAAAATGGCCTCCAGCCATTGCCGTTCCTTGCTCTGGAATCCCGCCTCCATCTGACCAGTGGCAGCTTGCGTCGGCTCAAAGTCAGGGCGTTTTCTCTCTGTCTGCCTCTTAACACATTGTCACTTCTGCATCCTTCTGGAATGTTCCATGGTGTCATCCACCCCCCCCCCCACCCCAGCCTTCTCCTGCTTAAATACAGGAGAGGAGGTGGCCTGTGTCGTTTGTCCCTCTGCTGTGCTCAGAACTTTGCAGGAGGAGCTGGTCTCCATTTCTGCTTCCATCGTGGGCTCTAATGGAGCGGGAGCAGCCACCTGACATGGAAGACCCTGGTCGTGGGTCCCAGGTCCCTGTGGTTGGTCTGAAGTCCCATGTAGGCCAGAACGGCGCTGGCTCTTACGGGCGCTGGCTGGCCCGGTCCTCCTCTCACACATTTCTGTTTTGCGAATGCGGAGATGGACTGGCGAGAGGTTGCGTGGCAGAAACCCTTGGTGCCTCAGTACCTGGGTTCCTGACCTTCTCTCTACCACCAGTGCCTGGGGATGGCGGGATGCCGTGTGCATGCCCATGGCGCTGTCTCGTGCAGGGGAGCAGGGCAGTGGGAGCCGTGTGCACTGGTTCAGCATTGCCAAGCAGCGTCGCTGGCCCTTGTCCCTCCAGCCACTTCCAATCCAGGTCCCCCCCCCCTCCCCAGGGTGTGAGCTTTCGCTGGATTTGGTGCATCCCCAGGCCCCCCTGCCCCTCCCAGGCTTGGCCCTCCTCCCCCAAGGACTTCAGAAGGCAGCTCCGTTCAGGGGACAGGTGCAATTCTCCATCCAGCCCCAGGAGCTTGCTCATGTCACCAGCATTGCTTGTCAAGGTGAACAATTGGAATTAACGAAACTGTCTGTCTTGCCTGAAACCACCTGCAGGTTCAGGGCACACCTGTCGGGGTCCCAGTGGTAAGAGTAAAGCAAAGCTGTTGTGAAAATCCCAGAGAGAGAGAGAGAGAGAGAGAGAGAGAGAGAGAGAGAAAGGGGAAGCCAGCCGGAAGTATGGCGATACCTGACTTGCAAACATAGAACAAAGCTACAGTTATTAGAGCAGCATGGCGACCCACACACAGCTCAGCAGTACCGAGTGGAGAGCCCAGAAATGTGTCCATAGCCGCACAGCCCAGAAACACACCCACAGCCCAGACACCCCGGAAACACACCCACGGCCACACAGCCCGCTGCCCCTGGATAGCAGGGAGCGCCCAGAAGGCATGGGCTCTTCCATAAGTGGTGCCTGCGAGACCAGATGGGTGTGAGCAACATGAGGTTGGATTCCTGCTGCTTGCCGCACACAGAGACCAATCCAGAGCCACCACCGTGCCCTATTTTGTTTCTTAGCTGGCGGAGGTGGCCGGGATCCCATGTGTTGGAAGTGGATACCCCCGGGGTGCCCTGAGAGACCAGCTCCCTGGTGAGGGATGCAGAGGACAGGGCAAGTCCCGGGTGAACCCCAGGCTCTGGCAGCCTGGTGGACTCGAGGCATCCTCTCCCGTGTGGCCTGAGCTGCCCTCTGGTGGCCATTTGAAATAGACACTGTGATGGGGTCGCGTTTCCCACGTGGGCAGCTAGCTGGCTCACAGGATGCGTGTCTGAGCCAGGGAGCTGGAGTCCAGGGACAGAGTCACCACTCGAAAGCTGAAATCAAGCACTCTGAGGGGCTGCTCTGTGTGTGTGTGTGTGTGTGTGTGTGTGTGTGTGTGTGTGTGTGGCAGGGTGGAGCAGCGGATGGCTGGGATATACCCATCAGCCTCCTGGCGTGTCTGCAGCTGCCTCGAGGGGTGATGGCTCCTGCCTCTGGCGTGCACCTGCCGTGATGGCATGACCCCACCTGTCCTGCTGTTGTCCTTTCCTTCCGCCCCCACCCCCCATGCAGGCCGTCAAGGAAGCGCAGGTCTCTTGGCGATGGGGACAGCAACGTGACAATGGTGGCCGTGCCCACGCTCCCGGAATTCGACAATACCACGTCCACCGACATGCCCGAGACCCCAGAGGTGCTCAGACCCTTCGAGAAGGTTATCAACAAGGAATCGCTGGTCATCTCCGGCCTGCGCCACTTCACCGGCTACCGCATCGAGCTGCAGGCCTGTAACCAGGACGCGCCGGAGGAGCGGTGCAGCGTGGCCGCGTACGTCAGCGCGCGGACCATGCCGGAAGGTGGGAATTTTTCCTGGGGAGGGGTGGGGGGCTCAGGCCGCAGCTGAGCCGATCCAAAGCCAGGAGCCAGGAGCCTCTTCCAGGTCTCCCATGCAGGTGCAGGGTCCCAAAGCTTTAGACTGTCCTCCACTGCTTTCCCAAGCCACAAGCAGGGAGCTGGCTGGGAAGTGGAGCTGTCGGGATTTGAACCAGCACCCGCATGGGATCCCAGCGGATACAAGGCGAGGATTTAGCCACTAGGCCACCACGCCGGGGTCATGCCTGGCGTTTTCATTCTGCGACCTTTTGCAGTGCCCCCACATAGGTGTGGAGTTGAAATTCTTTGGATCCACATGAAGTTAGCGTTAGTTCTGGTCCCTGTGAACTTTGGGAAATACTCCTCTATAGTCAACACCGCGTCTTTGAGGATGCCGCACTGAGCCAGTCCAGAAGAGTCGGCTTATTATTATTATTATTGCTAGTGTGTAGACTGAGCAAGCATAGATGTTGTTGTTGTTGTTCCTGTAATACAATGATACAGTCCCCCAGCATTTGTGTTACAACAGGTGTACACGCTGCTGAATTCGGAGAAGGCGTGTGGGTGTTTTGTGGCCCCCTATCCTGCATCCTGGTGCCCCGTGGCCCCCTATCCTGCATCCTGGTGCCCCGTGGCCCCCTATCCTGCATCCTGGTGCCCTGTGGACCCCCATCCTGCATCCTGGTGCCCCATGGACCCCCATCCTGCATCCTGGTGCCCCGTGGACCCCCATCCTGCATCCTGGTGCCCCGTGGACCCCTACCCTGCATCCTGGTGCCCCGTGGCCCCCTACCCTGCATCCTGGTGCCCCGTGGACCCCTATCCTGCATCCTGGTGCCCCATGGACCCCCATCCTGCATCCTGGTGCCCTGTGGACCCCTATCCTGCATCCTGGTGCCCCATGGACCCCCATCCTGCATCCTGGTGCATAGTTGTACAAACTCAACTTGAGAAGGGACATCTGTGGCTCTTCTTGGTACTGTCTTACAACTTCTCATGAGTTTGAGAACAACACCAAACTTATAAGGTCCAGGAACCCAGCCACCCCTGGGGTCCTCATTCTGTGAGGTGCCCGCTCCGCAGATGGAGGGACTTGCGGGTTCCGGGAGTGACGTCACGGGCACGGTTTCTCGACAGAGGGTGGCAGGGGTGGGTTTCCTTCTCTGCTCACATCTCCCTCCCTCGCTCCTCCCCCCCCCACTCCAGCCAAGGCTGACGACATCATCGGTCCCGTGACCCACGAGATCTTCGAGAACAATGTGGTTCACCTGACGTGGCGAGAGCCCAAGGAGCCCAACGGGCTGATCGTGCTGTATGAAGTCAGCTATCGGCGCTATGGCGATGAGGTAGGGGTCTCCGGGCTCGTGTGCTGGCCCCTAGGGGCCCTGGGGGCGCTTGGGAGTCGGGGGACCCCCCTTCCCTCCTTAGGGCTTCTCTCATCAGACCCTGTGTTTTTAGGATTGGAAGTCTTGGGTACAACTTTTCAGGGAGATGACTCAGAAGAAATCGAATAGACTTTTCTTTCCGAATTTCTCGTCTTACGCGTCGGCTCTGTTCTCCACGCTGGGTGCTGCGGGCTTGTACCCGCGTCCCTCCTGATGTGACAAGGAACTCGCCTCGCTTTAGGGACAGAGAAGGTCTCACTTGAGACCCGCCTGCGTGACCTCAAACTGGTTGTGTGTGTCTTTTTCCTAAACGTGGTTGCTGTATGATTTTTGGTATTTACTGATGGGGTGCGGAATCGTAACTCCACAGCGACATCTAGCGTGGGGGCAGTGTAACTGCAGCAATTGTGTGTCTCCCCCCACCCTTGGACACTTGTCTGTGTCGGGGTCCCCGGAGGGGTTTTGAGGTGCGCTGAATGGACCGCTTAGCCTGCAGTGACCTGCTGTGCTGTAGGCCAGGAGCCAGGAGTTGGTGTTTGGCACAGTGGTTAGGCTCTACCCTCTATCGAGTGCCAGCTCTGCTTCTGATTCCAGCTTCCCGCTATGCACACCCCAAGAGGCAATGGGACTGCTGCAAATAGCAGGGTCTCAGCCACACACATCCAAGGCTTGGATGGAACTCTCGGCTAGGCGTGGCAGGGGTGGGCTGCCCTCCTTGCCTCACGTCTGTACTCCTCTGCTCCCGGCTCCTGGCCTAGCCTGACCTGGCCGTAGCAGTCATGACATCTGGGGAGCGAAGCAGCAGGTTCAAGATCTTTGCCTCTTTCTGCCTTTCCAAGAAAATGAAAATAGACAGTTCTCCCTCGCTCTGGTTGTGTTCTGGAAGCCTGTGTCTGCTCTCATCATGTCCTCCCTCGTAAGAGGCCCAAGCACTGGAGACCATCTTCTCTGCTGCTTTCCCTGGTACGTTAGCAGGGAGCTGGATCAGAAGTGGAGCTGCCGGGACTCGAACTGGTGCCGCTATAGGATGCTGGTGCTGCAGCTGGTGGCTTTGCCGAGATGCCAGCCCTGAGACAGAGATCTACCTGCTGGCGTACGCCCCCAGATGCCTACAGCAGAGTACAGCCAGGGGCTCCATCCAGGTTTCCCATGTGGGTGGTAGGGATTCAGGCACCTGGTGCTAATCAGGGTGTGCATTAGCAGGGGCTTGGATTAGATACAGAGCTGGAAGTGGAACCGAGGCGCTGTGCCATGGGGTGTTCCCTGTGGAGTCTCCGCTGGTGTGCTGCGTGCCCCATGCTCACCCTTAGAGCTCTGGGTGCCATGGGGTGTCCCCCGTGGGGGTCTGTGCTGGCGTGCTGCGTGCCCCAGGCTCACCTCTAGAGCTCTGGGTGGTCATACCCCTTTCCCTCAATATCTCTTGGTTGTTGGGTTTCTTTCTTTGTTTTTCTTTAACTTGTATTTTATTTGCAAGGCAGAGTTAGAGAAAGAGATAGAGAGAGACAGAGATCTCTCATTTTCTGCTTTATTGCTCAGATTGCTACAACAGCCAGGGCTGGCTGGGCCAGGCACAGCCAGGAGCTCCCTCTGGGTCTCCCACATGGGTGTAGGGGTCCAAGCATTTGGGCTGTCACTTGTTGCCTTGCGGGTGCTTTAATTGGGGGAGCTGGGGTGGAAGTGGAGCAGCTGGGACTCGAACCAGCGCCTGTGTGCGATGTCGGTGTCATGGGCAGTGACTGAACCCGCCCAGTGCCATGGCACCAACCCCTGCACCTTATGCAAATGGCTTCTTGGACCTTGGTCAGGTGTCAGCTGTCATGTGTCTTGAGTGTCTTGGTGTTAGCGGAGTGCATTTGTGGGCAGGTTCTGGAAAACTTTCCGTCCTGCCCCCTTCCTCGAGGTATGGGGCCCATGCCAGGGTGAGTGAGTGTGTTTGCCCTTGGACCTGGCGTGCAGCCGCCTTTGGTCTCCCTCATATGACTCAGGCCGCCACTGCCACGCACGGTGAGGAGGACTTTGGACAGCCGCTCCCAGCCCAGCCCTATTTTGTTTTCCTGCTCTCCTAGTCATGTGAGAAGCACGGGAGAGTTTTTGCATTTCACGGTGTGTCCTCGCCTCTCCCCACCCACCATCCGACTTTTATTAGCATGTTCCAGCCCAGCTCCCTGCAGGCATCCTGGAGCCCTGGGGGCGGTGTCCCCAAGCTTGGTTCAGACTTGTAGGTTCTGGGGGCGGGTCGGGGGATCCCTGGTCTCCCCTGAGCAGTTCTAGGTTCACCTCAGATCACCTGTTGGTCATGGGGGTGGGCCGTGCACTCCCCTATGTGTGTCTTCATCCTCTTTCCTCCTGCTTACCCAGTAGTGGCCGTTTGGGTAGATTCCAAGTCTTTTTATGATGATGGGGGAAAAAAAAAAACATCAGAAAAATAGAAGCCTGCAAGCAAAGAGCGTTTGCTGTTTGTCTCCAAAGTTTTGACCTGTGTGTGGACTGGATCCACATATTTTTTTTAAGATTTGTTTATTTGAAAGGCAGAGTTATATATAGAGAGAGTTACAGAAGAGAGAGAGAGAGAGAGAGAGAGAGAGAGAGAGAGAGATATCTTGTCTCCTCTGGTTCACTCCTCCCAATGGCTGTGGGATCCCAGGGCTGGGCCAGGTTGGCTCTAGCATCTTGGAATTCCATCCTGGTCTCCCTCGGGGATGGCAGGGCACCAGGTATATGCCACATCTTCTGCTGCTTTCTTGGGTGCCTTAGCAGGCAACTGGATCGCAGGTGGAGCTGTTAGAGGTTGAACTGGGATTCCTAAGAGATGCTGGACTTGCAGGTGGGAGGCGAACTTGCCACACCAAATGCTGGCCACCTCTACTCTCTCTTTTTGAAGACATACAGAAAGGAGGGAGGGTCCACTTGGGCGGGTGGGGCCCCCATATCCTGAGCTGTTGTCACTGACGGCCCTGCAGGGGCACATCAGGGGAAAGCTGGAGGCAGCAGCTACAGCCAGGACTCCGTGCCAGAGCACAGCGTGCAGTGTGAACTGCCAGGCCGACTCTCAACATTGCTGGGTTGTGGCTAGAATAGCCCGTGGTCGTGGGTGGTCCCTAGGAGATGTTATTACTCCAGATGAATCTTGAAGGGCTGGCCTGACACTTCCTCAACTCCGGGCTCAACTCTCGGACTCACTGTGTGGCCTTGTGAGTCAGGGGTTAACCAGCAATCCACTCCCCACGGGTCCCCTTAGCTCTTTGCCATCTGTTGCCTCCCAGCCCCTCCCTGAGCTGGTGTTTGTGCACTGGGACAGTTGGGAATAAACAGCCAGAAGATGCGGAGAGAAGATCACCACCAGAGGGTGCCATTGGCTCTCAAGTAATCTCTAGTGATGCTGACCACGGGATGGAGGAGATTGGACGGGCTTGGGTAGGCTTAGGTAGAGAGAAATAGCAGGAGTGGGGTTGGCCAGGGGGCAGGCAGTTGGGGGGCAGGGATGCGTGTCCAGCCGGCCCCCAGCGCAGGGGGTGACTGCAGGGTACAACGGTATTCAGAGGTGGGGTTCGGTGGGGTTTCGGGGAGCAGGAGCTGCCGATCACACGCAGAGCGCATGGACCGAGCGATCCCGTGATAATCATTAGATACGTGGGGTTCTTCTAGGCCAGCGAACGCGCTGAGAACCAGCCAGCCGGCAGAGGGATGGATTTTGACTGTTCTTGCCGATTTTGGCTTGTTCTTACGTGTTTTGTAAATGACTGATTGATTGATTTGGAAGGCGGAGTGACACACACACACACACACACACACACACAGTGTGTTGTTTGAGCTGGGAGCGCACAAGTTCGCACGGGTCCCCAGGGTGGATGGTGGGGTCCAGTTGCTGCCGCTTCCTGGCGGGGGTGTGTGTGCAATCTCGTGTGGGGTCTGGTGGCCATTGTGGGGGCCTGGCACAGGGGGTGCGGAGCTCAGCTGATCTCTTTTCCATCCCCCTCCCCTTCCAGGAGCTACACCTCTGCGTCTCCCGCAAGCACTTTGCTCAGGAGCGGGGCTGCAGGCTGCGGGGTCTGTCCCCGGGGAACTACAGCGTCCGGGTGCGGGCCACCTCCCTGGCGGGCAACGGCTCCTGGACCGAAGCCACCTACTTTTATGTGGCAGACTACCGTGAGTTGCCCATGCTTGATGCTGGGGTGTGTGTGTGTGGGGGGGGGGGCAGCCAGATGGGGTGGGATGCTGGGAAGCTAGGGACAGGGACCAGCAGAGTGTTCCTGTATACTGGGTTACTCCCCAAGTACCCAGGCAGCTGGAGCTGAGACAGGCTGGAGCCAGGAGCCGGGAGCTCTGTCTGGGGCTCCCGCGTAGGGTAGCCATTATCTGCCGTTTAGCTGGAGTCAGGCTCGAACCCAGGTCCTCCGGCGTGGGAAGAGCACCTTCCCTGCTGGCGTGATTTTTTTTTTCTGGTCCGATGTGAACCTATTTTGATATGCTCCCCTTTCTAATTTCCTTTCAGTAGATGTCCCAACGAATATTGCCAAAATTATCATCGGCCCCCTCATCTTTGTCTTTCTCTTCAGCGTCGTGATCGGAAGTATTTACCTGTTCCTGAGGAAGAGGTGAGTGGAGCTGTGAATTCTGACTGCTGAGCTCTCTGTGGCTGGTTCTTGTGAGGTTGCGGGGTTCGGGGCCAAGGGGGCGGACACCGGCTATCCTGAGATGTGGGAACAGCCTGGCCTGCGACGCGTTCTCGTGCCTGGGTCCTCGCGACCAGACAAATGCAGTGGTCTTGGTCTTAGATTCTGCCAGGCCAGCGGTGGGGAAGGTCCACATGGGCCCTGCGACATTACGCTGCCACGGGTAGTTCAATTTTGAGTCCCTCTGGGGCTTCCAGACTATACCATTTCCTTCTTTCTTTCTTTTTAAATATTTATTTTTTATTGCAAAGTCAGATAGACAGAGAGGAGAAGAGAAAGAAAGATCTTCTGCCCAGTGATTCACTCCCCAAGTGAGCGCAATGGCCGATGCTATGCCGATCCGAAGCCAGGAGCCAGGAGCTTCTGCCGGGTCTCCCACGGAGGTGCAGGGTCCCAAGGCTTTGGGCCGTCCTCGATGCTTTCCCAGGCCACAAGCAGGGAGCTGGCTGGGAAGTGGAGCAGTTGGGATTAGAACCAGCGCCCCTATGGGATCGCGGCATGTTCAAGGAGAGGACTTTAGCCGCTAGGTTAGGTTACCATGCTGAGCCCAGTTCCTGGGGTGTTTCGTCCAAACCTCTGTATCCATAGGAAACTAAGGCTTACAAATGATGGGCTGATGCGAAAGTTGATTGATACTTTGTTTAAAAGCAAAATGAAACCTGCCTGTTCAGCAAGGATACAGACTAGCAGGTGCATACGGGAAAATCAGAGTTTGTGTTCAATGTGGGTGGTAGCGGCTGCTGGTCCAAAGCTTTGACCTCGGTCTGCACGATTCCCACCACTTGCTCAAGCAGGGGAGTCCTGGGGAGTGACCACTGCAACCTGGTTAAAATTCCACTGAACGGGCCCGGCGCGGTGGCGCAGTGGTCAAGGTCCTCGCCTTGCACGCCCGGGATCCCATATGGGCGCCGGTTCTATCCCGGCAGCCCCACTTCCCATCCAGCTCCCTGCCTGTGGCCTGGGAAAGCAATGGAGGACAGCCCAAAGCCTTGGGACCCTGCACCCGCGTGGGAGACCTGGAAGAGGCTCCTGGCTTCGGATCGGCATAACATCGGCTGTTGCGCTCACTTGGGGAGTGAATCATCGGACGGAAGATCTTCCTCTCTGTGTCTCCTCTCTGTATATCTGCCTTTCCAATAAAAATTAAAAAATAAATCTTTAAAAAAAAATTCCACTGAACATGGACTAGGAACATGCCTGGCCGTGGCATAGTAGCTGATTGGTGGAAATCGTGTCTGCAGGGGATGTGTGTCCAGACCGCCGCCCGAGTGGGTACCCAAAATCACGCATGGCGCCCAGCCCTAGGGGTCCTGTGTTTGCCTCTTAGGAAACTTTTCCAAATTCTAATTACCAAGAGAGACCGGGCTTATCAGTGGTCCACCGTCCTAGTTGGGGCCAAAGGCGGAAGCTAGGAACTTAGTCCGAGGCTCCCACGTGAATGGCACTTGAGCCACCACCATCCCTGCAACCTGCTGGGGTCTGTACTGGCAAGAAGGTTAAAGTCCTGAGCGAGGAGGGAGTGGCCATATATGCAGGTGCCTCAGCAGGGGACACGAGTATGTTGGCTGCTGGGCCACGCACCTGCCGTCTCCCCACCGTGATGAAATCTCACACGGAACTTGGACACAATAAAAACTGAGTAATAATCATTATGGAAAAAACCAGAAAAGTGACTGTAAAGCCACAGGAGCCAGGAGCCTCTTCCAGGTCTCCCAGGCGGGTGCAGGGTCCCAAGGTTTTGGGCTGTCCTTGACTGCTTTCCCAGGCCACAAACAAGGGAGCTGGATGGGAAACGGGGCCGCTGGAATTAGAACCGGCGTCCATATGGGATCCTGGAGTGAAGCCACCCAGGTGCGTGGACTCAGGAGCTGCCTGACGGACCTTCACTCACAGCCTCAGGGACCCTGGCCCCGCCACCCACCTGTGGGATGCTGAGGGTCGCTGTGTGCCCTGGACGGCAGGTTCACTCACCTCCTCCCCGTGGAGATCCCCTCTACAGAACTGTGGGAATTTCAAGCTGCCCGCCCTTGCTCTTTCTCCTCCAGGCACCCAGACGGACCCATGGGGCCGCTGTACGCCTCTTCAAACCCCGAGTACCTCAGCGCCAGCGATGGTGAGGCCCCTTCCCGGTCTCGGGGGTGGGGTGGGGTGGCGGGAACCTTAGTGGGTGGCTTGCAAATGGAGTGTAAAGACCCCCTGAAAAGTACGACTGTGTTTTGGTGCGAAACAAGTTAAAATCCACGTAGAATTTTTTTTTTAAAGTGATATGCATTTTCCATGCATTATACAGGTTGTAGTCCCTCCCCCTTTTAAAGTTTGGTTATCAGATTAAGCCTGTGACTTTCAACTCCGTTCTTCCCCACGCACTTTTTGAAACACCTGCAGAGGGAGTCATGGGCTCATGGGTTAGCTTCGTAGGCTGAGCTCAGCCGGGTGGGTCTTCCGCTGCTGCCCCTGATCTGCCTGTACCCTTGGCTCATGCTGAGTGGTCTCAGAGGGCCTCATGGGAGTGTCTGGGGGTCCGTAGGCTGCCGGGGAGCCCGGTGTAGGGATGGTGACAGAGCCCCACTCCTTCCTGTAGTCTCCTAGGCCCTGACAGGTGAGCCTGGGTTTCATGCCATGCTGTGCTTTAAGGCTTCCTTAGCAGCAAGGGGACAGAAGGCGCCCTGTTCCAAAATGCAATCCTTTGCTTGGCGCATGCTTGCTGATCTCTGTCCACTGCAGCTGGACCACGAGGTCATGGCCAGGCCCTGGGATGGTGGAGACACACACAGGCTGTAACCCCTTCATGGACATGCCACCAAGCCTTGCAACCACATTTTGGTCAACCAGTTCTAACCTGTCTGCTTGGCACCTTGCGTAGACAAGAGCCATGGGAGGGAAGGGGCGTCATGTGGTGGTGGTGGGGGGGGGGTGTTGGGGATCAGAAAGGAGACATCAGCCCCTCCCCAGACCACTTTGTGGGGGGGGGGCTCAAGAGAGGGCTGTGGGTGTGCTGGTGGCCAGGGACCCCCTCCTCCTCTTCCCGCCGAGGGATTGGGCGGAAATGCCGTGTAGATAAGTGAGGAGTAGTGTTTCCGTGTTCTGTGTACGTTCCGGATGAGTGGGAGGTGCCGCGAGAGAAGATCACCCTTCTGCGGGAGCTGGGCCAGGGCTCCTTCGGCATGGTGTATGAAGGCAACGCCAAGGACATCATCAAGGGCGAGGCGGAGACCCGCGTGGCCGTGAAGACCGTCAACGAGGCGGCCAGCCTGCGGGAACGCATCGAGTTCCTCAATGAGGCCTCTGTCATGAAGGGTTTCACCTGTCACCACGTGGTGAGTCCCGTCCGGGAGGAGGTGGATGCTGCTGGTCCTGGCTGTTCCCTCATTCAACCTCCTCCTGCCACTCTGGCCCATGGGGGACACTGGGTGCAGGCCCTTGCCCATCCCTCACCCGGTGAGCCTCAAGATGTAGGGGGGCGGGGGAGAGAGAGAGAGGGATTGCTCCTGTCTTCATCCCATTCTCTCCCAGCATGCCTGTCAATTTCCAGAATCTTCCATCGCTTTCTGGAATCTTCTGTCGTTTTCTGGAATCTTCCATGGCTTTCTGGAACCTTCCATCCCTTTGCAGAATCTTCCACCTCTTCCTGATGCATTGGCAATCCTGAGCCACACAGAAGTCCACTACAATTCATCTGTCCTCATCCCTGCCCCCAGCCACCCAACTCTAGTACAAACTTTTCCTGTCTTTCTGGAATCTTTCTTCGGTTTCCACAATTTCCCATGACTACACAGGCGTTAGCTGTGCCCGCCCCCCCGCCCCACACCCTCGTTCCTTTCCCCTTAGCCTGGCACAAATGACTCCTGCCTTTCTGTCCATGTGGTGGTCTCTTGGTTTCTCTTGGGGTCTCATCTGTTTGCCATGGGAACGGACAGGGCACCAAAATCCTCTGAGATGCCTGCCACAAGAAGCTTCAAATGACAGGTGCCAAATCCAAAGCACTAGTTAGTTTAGGAGCTGTGCAGAAAAGAGCGGAGAGGAGGCCAGGAGGGGGTGGCTGTGAGTTGGGTGGATGTGGGCTGAGGGCTGCAAAGCCCGCAAATAGGAGCAGGTGTTGAGATCTGTCTCGGGGGATGCGCTGGATACGACCTAGAGCTATCCGCACTGCCCGCAGGTCCAGGGGGACCCTATATGGCAGGGACAATGAGACAGCATAACCCGGACCATGCCTGGACTCTCAACTCGCCCTTGCGTCCCGCAGGTGCGCCTCCTGGGTGTGGTATCCAAGGGCCAACCCACGCTGGTGATAATGGAGTTGATGACCCATGGAGACCTCAAGAGTTACCTCCGTTCCCTGCGACCCGAGGCTGAGGTGAGGCTTCCGGTCTGTCCCTGGTCCCCCCTGGGCCCGCTCCCGGACACGGGTTCTAGGGTCTCCGAGCCATCACCCCATCTCTTTTGACGATAGAACAACCCCGGCCGCCCTCCCCCGACCCTGCAAGAGATGATTCAGATGTCGGCCGAGATCGCGGATGGCATGGCCTACCTCAATGCCAAGAAGTTCGTGCACCGGGACCTGGCAGCTCGGAACTGCATGGTGGCCCACGACTTCACTGTCAAGATCGGAGGTTGGTCCTTGAGTTTTGCTTGCTGCTCAGGCCCCGCCCCCGGGAGGAGTTGGCGGGGGGGAGGGAAAGTTTCTCAGAGGGTCATTGTTGACCGTGAAAGGGGGCACGATTTGGCCCTCCAACAGCAGTAACTGTCCTCCCTGGAGGGGCCTGAGTGGCTGTTTCTGTTTAAAATGGGACTCCAGTCTGGCTGTCACAGCGGCCAGATTGAAGTGTTGCCCTGGCCGCCCGAGCCTCGCGGCCGCCACATTGCTTAATGTGCAGGAAGATCCTGGCCAGCTCCCCAGGCAGCCGTTTTGGACGGGGAAACCACAGAGCAGTTCATGCTCTGATGAGTGGGGTGACCAGGACCCCAGTGGAAGCCACACCTGGGGTCCAGGAGGCCGGGTCAGGAAAGGACTCACCCTTGGGTGGGTCTCTCTCTCTCTCTTCCTCCCTTGGTCTCTCCCTCCCCTCCCAAGCCTGGCAAGGCAAGGCAAGGGGCTCATATTGTGGTGCGGTGGGTGAAGCCGCTGCTTGCAGCACTGGCATCCCCTGGGGAATCCAGTTCAAGCCCCAGCTGCCCCACTCTCCATCCAGTTTCCTGCTCATGTGCCTGGGAAAGCAGTGGAAGATGGTCCGGGTGCTGGGACCCCCTGCACCCATGGGGGCAGGGAGGGAGACCTGGGTGCAGCTCCTGGCTTCTGCCTTGGAGCTGGTCCAGACTTGGCTGTTGCAGCCAGCTGGGGAGTGCATTGGCAGATGGAAGGTCTGTTTCTCTCTGCCCCTCCCTGAGGAAGGGGAGGAATCGATGGATGCTGGAGAGAGATGGAGGGAGCGTGGGGGTGGGAAGGACTTGCCAGGAAGGGGGCACTGGGCATGGAGGGCTAGCCGCGCTGACGGCTGATGCTGAGGCCGCGCGTGCGCCATTTGTTGACAGATTTTGGAATGACTAGAGATATTTACGAAACGGACTACTACCGGAAAGGGGGCAAGGGCTTGCTGCCCGTGCGCTGGATGGCGCCCGAGTCCCTCAAGGACGGAGTCTTCACCACCTTCTCTGACATGTGGTAAGTCTGGCATGCGGGGCTGGCTTCTCAGGCACCCAGGGAGAGCGACAGGTGACAGGCCGCAGGGGCCTCTCCCCTGGGGGCTGACCAAGGCTGCGTCGCCTCTAAGGACCCTGGGCCAGCCTTGGTGATGCTGACCGTGAAAGCTGATCCTGTGGGTGCTTGGGACCACCAGGGTGGGTGGTTTTTCCTTGTGCATGCATACTGGCACGTGGGCACATGTGTGGATGTGGGCGTGTGTGTGTTTATGTGTGTGCAGGCATCACGTGCTGTGTGTGCAAGCGCGTGTGTGCGCTGGCGTGTGAGTGGGTGTGCAGGTGCATGGGCCTGCTGAATTCTTGCAACCGCCCTTGGCCAGGTCCTTCGGCGTGGTCCTCTGGGAGATCGCCAGCCTCGCAGAGCAGCCCTACCAAGGTCTGTCCAATGAGCAGGTGCTCAAGTTCGTCATGGATGGCGGACACCTGGAGCAACCCGAGAACTGCCCGGAGAGACTGTGAGTGTAGCCTCCAGCCCATGTGGAGAGTTCGAGTACTGCCTCTGGCTCTTGAGGCCCTGGGAAGCAGCCCCGAAGCTTCCGGAGACTGGGTTCCTACGGTCCCTTTCCCTGGCGGGAGATTTTGGGGGAGCCCTGGCTTCAGAGCCAGCCCCAGCCTGCTTGCTGTTGGGGTATGTGGGGAGGGAACCAGTAGTTGGGAGCCTTCCCCCCCTAGATCCTCCATCCCTCTCCCTGTCCCTCCCTCTGGCTCGCGTGCTCTCTCTCTCTCCCTCTGTCTCTCTCCCTCTGTCTCCCTCTGGCTCGCGTGCTCTCTCTCTCTCCCTCTGTCTCTCTCCCTCTGTTTCCCTCTGGCTCGCGTGCTCTCTCTCTCTCCCTCTCTCTCTCTCCGTTTCTCTCCTCCTGTCTCTCTTCCTCTCTCCTCCTTCCCCCCCCTCTCTTCCTCTCACTCCCCATCCCTCCCTTTCTCTCTCTCTCTCCTTCTCTCCCTGTCTCTTTCTCCCACCCTCTGCCCCTCATTCTCTCTCTCTCCCCTGCTCCCCGTCTGTGTTTCGGATAAATCCATCTTCAAGTCCACGCCCTCCCAGCCCCTTAGGCTCGCACTGCTGGGGAGGTGGGCGGGACGGGGGTGGGGAGCCTGGTTGAGGGTGGTGCTGCGTGCGGCTGGACCTCCTTGCCGCCCCGTGGCAAGGAGTCACGCGCGCTCGCGTCCCCTATGTCCCGCAGCAACGACCTGATGAGGCTGTGCTGGCAGCTGAACCCCAAGATGCGTCCCACCTTCCTGGAGGTTGTGAGTCTGCTGCAGGATGACCTGCACCCCAGCTTCCCGGAGGTCTCCTTCTTCCACAGCGATGAGAACAAGGCCCCGGAGAGCGAGGAGCTGGAGCTGGAGTTTGAGGACATGGAGAGTGTCCCGCTGGACCGCTCTTCGCACAGTCAGAGGGAGGAGGCCGCTGGCCGGGAAGGGGGGTCCTCCCTGGCCGTCAAGCGCAGCTACGAAGACCACATCCCTTACACCCACATGAACGGGGGCAAGAAGAACGGGCGGATTCTCAGCCTGCCCCGCTCCAATCCCTCCTAACACCGGGCCTGCCTGGGAAAGGCTCCAGCCGCGCCCTGCTCGGGTACCTGCACCCCAGTGCAACTCAGGATCTTTCTCACAAGCCCCGAGAGGCTGTCCCCCCCATCGATTCTGCCCTCCGCCTGTCAGCCTTTGAACTTGAGACACCCTGGTGCAATTGCCAATGTGACCGGGGCCGTGGGTCGGAGAGCAGCCAGGAAGCCGGAGCCCAGAAGGAGAGGGCGAAGGGGTTCCCGCTGCCACCACGGCTCCAGAAAAGCTTCTTTTTTTTTTTTTTCTGGATGGAAAGAAAGCGCCTGTTTTTACAAAGATTTTTTTTTTTTTTTGTGCTGGTGTGTGTCTGAGCTACAGTCTAAAATTTGTTCATTCTTGTTTGTGGAACCAAAGTTGGCAAGGGAGAAAAAAAAAATAGGACAACGTCACCAACATCACCTCTCTCTCGTTTCCCTCAGTCCTGTCCCACCCAGGGGGGACAGCCACCCACCCACCACCAATGGCTTGCTCCATCACCACCACTCGCCCCCAGGCTGGGTGGGGCGAAGGTGTGACGAGGCTGGCATGGCCACCTCCTCCCCCTTCTCCAGCGAGATCAGCCGCTCAAGCTGCTCCTTCCCCTGCTGGAAGCCTGGTCCTTTGGCGGAGGCCTCGCCTCCTTGGGGGTCTAGCCTCATCAAGCGGGCACCCTGGCCTTGTCCGGCCTCCTCCTCCCTCCAAACTCACCGGGAGGAACTTTTTTTTTTTGGAGAGATGGCGAATTCTTTCAAGACCAAACAAAGCTAGGATGGAAAGCAGAGGGGCGGGGAGGAGTGTTTTTGCGAACTTATCTGTTTTAGGTTACTGAGTTGGGGGTGAGGGGGTTCCTAATGGGAGAGGGGGTGGGGCCAGCCACAGGGCGGCCTCTTTGGTCTTGGAAGTGTCCATTATTATTATTATTTTATTATTATTATTATTACTATTATTATTATTGTTCTGGGAATTAAGCCACATTCGCTGCTAACCGTTCTGGACATCGGGGGTGGGGTGGGGTCGGGGTGAGCCACACGGAGTGCGTGCGCGCGCGCGCGCGGGGTTTGCTGGAGGCTGTGATTCCTCATCCCGTGGCCTCTCGTCCTCACCGCTCCCCCCAACAAACCGGGGGAGAGGCGGCAGGTGGGGACTCCCACCTCGGACAAGGCAGGCGACCCCGGGCTCGTCTCTCTGGCGGCTTCTCTCGTGCGTACCTCCCAGCGGTGGCGTTCCCTTGCCTGGACCCGCGCCACGCCACGCCACCCCACCCACGCCACAATCAAAGGACTCAAGGACACGGCTGGACAACGCAAGCATGGGAGGAGATGCGCATGGAGCTCGGCTTTTGGGGAACCTCACCCGGACCCCCTTCTCTCCAGCCCACGCTGCAAAGCCGCAAGGAGGAGGTAGAGTCCCAGACAGGACCACCCGCCCCGCTGCGCACCTGTGCGCCGAGAACTTCCAGGTGGGCTTGCGTATCCCTCCCCATCACCACAGATTCTGCTCTGTTTTTTATTTTTATTTGTTTTTTTGTGAAACAAACCACAGCTGCTCAAAGACCAGTGTGAACTCGGCCTTCGGGTTCACGGACGGCGTCACCCACGGGTCATTCCCCTACTCTCCTCCCCAACAAGCGTGACCCCCTCCCAAGGGTGCGACTTTTTTTTCTTACTCCTTTCTTCCTAAGAGGGTGGGGACATATGCCTTTGCTCTCTCCTTTACAGGTGATTTGGAAAACAAACAAACAAAAAAATACACATACACACACACACACAAATCATGGCCCGTTATGGGATTGCTGGGGTCCCTGTGTGATTGGGCAACATGAGGCCAGAGTACAGAAATTATTTTTGCCAAATTTATTTTGTACATACAAGAGGGTTCTGTATGTAAAATTTAAAAAAACCAAAAAAAAAAAAAAAAAACCAAACCAAAAGAAAAAAACAACAAAAAAAAACCTCCCCAAAAAGCAAAAACCAACCACACATGTAGGCTAGATATTGTTTGTTTTTTTTTTTCCTAGTCAATTTGTAGCGGCCGTATACTACAACAAAGCAGCAATTTTCGCATTTTTTTCTAATTCAGAGAAGACTTTCTTATATTAGGGGGGAAAAGTATTTATTTTAATATATACAAATCACTCTGAAAAATCACTTTCATAAAAAAAATGGAGTGCATGGAAGTTTTTATTAAGGAAAACAAAACAAAAAAAATAAACAGGTGAATGTGGGTCGTGCTTTTCTTTTTTTTTTTTTTTTTTTCCAGCACAGCCTACCTCAACGTATTGTTAGCATGTGGGTCAACCAAGGACATCCTGGGAGGGTTCTGAATTCTGTCCGGGTCTGGTCTGAACTGGGGGGGGGGATGCTGGTGGTAGATTCCAGGGTGTGATCACAGTCCGGTTGAAGAAAGCTTGGGTCTTTGTTCCTGGCTGGTCATATTTTCTGAATTTAGGAATTTTTTTGCTTTTAATCTTCCATTGGGGAGGGTGTTTGTTCTTAGAGTTATTGGCAATGACACCCGAGTCCGTCCCCGCACCCCACTCTCCCCACAAGTGCCTAGATTTTTTTTTTTTGCCTGCGCCTCATTCCCTCCTGCTCCCTGCCAAGGGCCAACGCTAGGGGGGGCGCCCTGTTGAAGGCTCCATTAACCCGGTTCCTTGCCAAACGGAGGCTCTGGTCCTGCCCAGCTCTGGCTGCGGTGGCCATTTGGTGATGGGCGGGCAGCGAACCAACATATGGCGTTGTTCCGTTTGTAAGACGTAAGGGGGAAAAATATTCCTCTGTACACAAGCTGAGTTTCAGGACATGTGGGAGATCTGACACCTGCTCCCCTCCCGCCTCCTGCCATGTGGTGGTTGGCCTCCTGTTGGTGACAGGCAGGCCCGGTTTCCAAGCTGGCCTCCCCACCTGTGCCCCCCCCGGAATTCTAACAGTGTGGCCAGAAGGATGCTCCGGGGCTCCTCCAAGGTCTGGTTCCTTTGAGTTCTGTTCAGTTCTCTGGGTTCAGAATGAGTGGGACTCACACACACCCTATGCAACGCCTCTGAGTCTGAGTGGAAAAGTGGGGGGGGAGCCCTTTGGGGAACGCTCAGTTAAACCCCACCAAAGTACTGCTAGATTTTTCTCTGAAAGAAAAAAAAAAGATTATTTTTATTGGACAGAGTCATGGCTGACTCCCCAAGTGGCCACAATGGCTGGAGCGGAGCCAACTGGAAGCCAGGAGCTTCTTCTGGGTCTCCCATGTGGGTGCAGGTTCCAAAACTTTGGGCCGTCCTCTATAGCTCTCCCAGGCCACAAGCAGGGAGCTGGATGGGAAGTGGAGCAGCTGGGACATGGACCTGCATCCATATGGAATGACAGCAATGTTCCCCCATTCTCCCTGCAGCACTTTTATTTAGCCAACAAGACCTTGGACCATCTGGGGTTCTGGTTGACATCGGGCGGATGCCCTTTAAGTTTTTGTAGCTTTGAGAACCCCACGACAAGGTGAAGTTCAGGCAGATGGGGATGTTGGGGTGCTTGCCTAACTTCACTGCACGTGCTGTGCCATGTGGCCACTGCCGGGGTGGGGCAGACTCGGAGAGAGACAGGGTACCATGCCTGCTCCCCTGCACTCACGGCGTGGCTCAGCAGCTGCCTCTGGCATCAGAAAAATTCCAACGTCGTAACCTCAGGACTTGGGTAAGAAGGGCGGCTCTCCCGGGGGAGCATGTGCTGGGCTGCAGAGCTGCGACCAACGGGCTTAGATCTCAGTTGCTTTAAGAGAAGTCTGATTCATCCACACACAGTTACTTCTTCATCCAGGGAAGGGAGGACACCGGGACATCTTCGTACTCCTGGGATCTTGGTGATGTCCAACACATAACAGAAAATAGTCCTTGTCCAGGGTGCTGGAGCGCCAAGCCGGGTCTCTGGATACAGTCAAGTTGTGGTCATAGGGGATGGTGTCTCGCCACGGACAGACCAGGTGTCCGCGGGCTCACATGGGCACGCTTGGGCCACCGTGAAGCTGGCTTGGGTGGTTGGCATTCTGATTGCTCGCCGTGGTTGGACGCTGGTTGGTGGGCAAGGATGCCACGGGGGCATGGTCCGCTAGGAGGGGGTGTACCACATTTTCCACAGCAATAACAACTTGTACACTCTGTTGAGGAAGGAAGCTGGGATTGATTTTTCTGAATAGACCTTTCACGGCATATTTTCTGCAGTCTACATATGTATGTTTATTATTATCATTTTTTATTTGTTTTCGCTGTGGGTGGTGAGTGGGGGACGCTGGAGAAGAGGGTGTTTCCTAGCAACGTGGTATGCACAGAACTCTTCCCAAATGTTCTTCAGCGCATCGGTTGGCACTGGAGGTGTGGCCGGGGAGACCAGAGCTGCCCACTGCTTGGGAGCAGAAGTTGGGATGGGCTCCCAAGGGCTTGGGACAGGGAGAGCAGGTGTTTCCTTGAGGGCTCCTTTGAGAGCGGGGCAATGCCATGGTTGCATGTAGTTGGCACTTTGGACGCTTCTTGAGGGCCAGTGAGATTTATGGCTTGGGTGTTGGCTATAAACTTAACAGTGCTTGGGAAATTACATGGTGAGCCTGGGGCCGCTGGCCCCACCTGAGAGGGGCGGAAGTGTGTGTCCACATAGGTGTTCCTGAGTGGCTTGTTTGGTCTTTGTGGTTGATGTCCCAGTTGCCACCACCTGTCCCCTCCCCTGTGTGCCTGGGTGGCGTCTCGGTCATTGGCACGGGACCCAGCATGCCACCGCATTGGCAGAAAGTGACTTGGAAACACAATCATAACCACCCCAAAGCTCAAAGATGGCGATTTTTAAAACCCCGCTGTTTTCCTACAAGAGCCAATAGCATCGTGGACAGGAAAGCCTTCTCCTCCTTCTTTCTCTTTTTCAGAAAGAAAGGGGTTCGGAGGAGGGGCTGTGGACTTTGTTCTGCATGTAAAATATGGGCCGATGATCTGTATACAGTAAAATTTGAATAAATTATCTGAGTCTACGCCGGCTTCTGCGTGGTTGTCTAGATGGAGGCGGGGCGCGGGGCGTGTTGGGTCATCCCTTGGGTATGAGCTGTGTTGAATTTTGGGCAGTTGTAGGGTGCCCGTACTTGGAAGCAGGGGGCTCCCCATAGCCTTGAGCCCATGAAACTGTAGAGAGAATACGGGGAGGAAAGAGAGAGAAATTCGTCCACTAGAATGGGACAAGAGTGTACAGGCACTTTACACACACACACACACAGTTTTTTAATTTTCCTTTTTAAAATTTTTTAAATTATATTTTTGACAATCTTTACATAGTTAAGTTGGGTAAAAAGGTTCAAGGTACAGAAAAGTGGGTAGGACTATTATTTCCATATTGTTTCCTTCATGTATCTGGTTAAAGGGGGATATTGAGGGAGAAGCCCCACCCAGTTTCCCACCCATCCCAGGTCCTGGATGTGGGGCATGCTCTGAGACACTCGCTCAAGTGGTTTCGATAGTTCACCAGTTATGAATCGCTGCCAATCTCGCCACTCCAAGCACGACGAGGTCATTTGAAGAATCCACTGATGGACCTAGTTCATCATAGAGTCTCCATTTGCCTAGTTTTTCACTGCCAACATAGAGCTGAGGTGGTTGATTGACCTGTTCTGTCTTCTGTCTTTTCTTTGTTAGGGTTCTGAGTCCGGCATTTCGATTGGGGAGATCCCCAAAGAAACTTTGAGATATTCCCAGACCAGATTCTTGTATGTACCAGCGAGCACAGGGCCCGGCACAGCCCATTGCCCCAGTCAGCTGGTGGTTGCAATTGCTGGGTCGGTTCTGCTTTCAGCTCCAACTCCCACTGGAACCGATGGGTGTTGCAGTCCAGCCTGGTTCTGCCCAGCACATACAAAGCCCTTACACAAACCAGTGTGGGCTACAGCCTAGTCTGAGCGACCCACAATAACCCCACCAGGCCCGCCCCCTACCCTGGTTTGCCAGTATGTGTAGCAGACTAGTCCAGTCTGTCCCACATCCCATTTGGCTCTCATACATGTTGATGGGTATTGAAGCTTAATTCCTTCTAATCAGCTCAACTATCCAGCCCTCACAGATGTTGTTGGGTGCCTCTCTGTCTAGCCACCCCAGCCCCTGTACTAGTTTTCATGCCCTCCCATGGAAGTGGTAACCCAAGAGGGGGGAACCCACTATTTCCCTCCCAGTTCTCTCTCATTCCCGGATTATGCACTCTCCAGGTAGTTCTGTGGTTTGACTTGACAGAATTTAGCCTCCAGTGCCAGCTTCTGCTAGCTGATGCTGCGGCTAAGCCCCAACAACCCTCACCCACTCTAATTGTAGATTGCACCAGTAGGAATAATTAGCCCAGCCTGGCTTTTCCCTGATCTAGTCCACATGAGGCACACAGGTGTTGTAGCCCTGCTTAGTCTGGTCTGCCCCCATCCCAGCTCAGGCTTTCCAGTGGGAGTAGCTGTCCAGCAAGGGAACCACCCCTTATTCCCCTGCTGGCTTCGCCGCGCCCCCTCCCTGGTTCTCACGCGTGCTGGTTGGGCACTGTGGTCACATCCGGTACAGGTCACCTCACTTTGGCATTCCATCTTTTGCAATGGTTTTTTGCCGCGGCTGAGCCTGGCTTGATCCACACTACACACAGAGTTTTACAACAACCAGAATAAGTATATCTTTTATTCCCACTTTCCCCACAAACTCTCTTTTTTTTTTTTAAAAAAAGATTTATTTTATTTTTATTGGAAAGGCTGATATACAGAGAGGAGGAGAGACAGAGAGGAAGATCTTCCGTCCGATGATTCACTCCCCAAGTGACTGCAACAGCTGGTGCTACGCTGCTCCGAAGCCAGGAGCCGGGAACCTCTTCTGGGTCTCCCACGCAGGTGCAGGGTCCCAAGGCTTCGGGCCGTCCTCCACTGCTTTCCCAGGCCACAAGCAGGGAGCTGGATGAGAAGTGGAGCAGCCAGGGCTGCTGTGATGCTGGCTTTGCAGGCAGAGGCTAGCCTGTCACATCATGGTGCCAACCCCTATTTTACCACCATTGTATTGGGGATCAAATTCCCACCACATGAGCTCTTGGGAGGGATAAGCCACGTTCAAGGCGTGGGACAAGGATATGGAAAATGAGAATAAAACTATCACACGTTTCACAAATATTTTATCCTCAATTAAATGTTATTTCCCCTGGAACCTACTGAAGTGTCGTGCTATAAGAGGTGGGATTAAAATACTGCTCATTGTGAAAATGTCAGCAGGCCAGCAGGTGGGGGCTGCAGGGCAGGCCCTGGGGACCTGCCTTTAGTGACCTTCCTGGCTGTGACTGGCTCAGCTTCCAGGAGAATCCCAGCAGCTTCCACTCTGCCTCAGGTTGGTCACCCCTCAAGCCATCCCTTTTTCATTTCACCGCTTGTGGAAGCTTCACTTTTGCCTCCAGAATGGAAGGCATGAAGCCCATCCCTCCCCAAATAGGGGGCTGTTCCCTCCACCCCCAACCAGAGATGGGGAGCCTAGGCTAGGGGCCCCCCCCACTTCAGCTTCAATAGACAAAACATTCCTGACTCAGCATCTCTGAATCAGGGACTCTGGGCAGGTGCTCCAGCGCCACCGTGTGGTCCCAGGGAGTTAGCTTTTACTAGGAAATCTGTAAAGAACTTGAGGTTCAAAATAACCTCTCACCCTCTTTTAGACTTCCAAGTGACATTCAGGTTTCTGTTCCTCAGATGTGGGGGACCTGGGGCATTTACACATTGCTGCTAAGACTGCAAGCACTACAGGAAAGCGTTGGGTGGCATGTTGAAAGATAACGGAAGCATTGCCACATAGCCCAGCCTTTCCACTCCCAGGGGGTCAGTCAGAAGAGGTGATAATACACCCTATGACAGATCATCAGAATCATCAGACACCAGCGCTCGTGGAGAGCTGTGTATAGCAGGCAAAGGGAAGACAGCCCTAACGTGGATGAATACAACGTGGTGCATCTGCTGAGTGGAAAGCTGGAAAGCGACTGGGGGCTACCCTGTGCGTGAACCTGTCAACAGTGCTGAGTGTGAGAGATCCAGGTTTGCATCTGCGAGTCCATGTGACAGGTAAATGCACCAGGAGATGCTGGTGCTGTGGCCTCCATGTCCGCCTGACTGCTTCCTGGGTCATGGTGGGGTAACAGGGTGAGAAACACTCCCCAAGATATATAGAGCTGATGACTGCACTGCCTCTTGAATGTCCTGTGTGCAATGGGAAAGTCAGAGTGGTCTAGGAACTGATTTGTGTTTTTGAGAGAGCAACAGAGAACTTTGAAATTCTAATAGGTTCACATGAAAAATGCTCTGAGAAATCAGCACTTTTCTTGGTTGAAACCAGGAGCCTGGAGCCCCATCTGGATCTCCCAAGGACCCACGGTCATGAGCCATCACCTGTGCCTGTGAACATGAAGCTCGGTTGGAACAGTAGCAGGCAAGCAGATAAGGCATCTCAGGGGTTTCTGGCATGCAAGCATCCAGGGCCAGGTTTGCCTGCTGTGGTGAGGTTTTGGCTCCCCGTAATTTCATCAAGAAAATGGTTATTATTTATTACTGGACTTTGATGTGGGTGAGAAAGAAAACGTTCTCTCCAGGGTGTAACAGAGGAAAGAAAACTAGGTGCCATGATAGGAAAGGCAGTAAGCTGCCAGATGGGATGTGATGTTAGATGCAGTTCTGTGTGTGTGCATATAAAGCTTGCATATATGATTTTTAAAAAGGGATTCCCAAAGAGTTGCACAACGAATTGATACATGGTTAGGCTACAATAAAGTATGCTCAATAAAGCATTTTCCTTGACTAGTTCAGTCTGGTAATAAGAAAACATCCCAAGTGACGCATGCCAACAGTAAAATGACAAAGTTTATCAGAGTTGAGCGAAAGGAAACTCAAGCATGTAAATAATCCTTGGGAACTTCAAATATAGGCAGCATAAGGGAAAATGTAGAAATTAGTTGAATACATTCGTATGTGGACAGCTTCTGGTGCAAGACTGTTCCCATGCCTGGGCTTCCAGAAGGGCTGAAGCTCAATGCTCCAGTGGCTGCCTCTTCAGAGCAGGTGGCTGTCAGGGGCATGATGGGCGATCATTGTGACAAGGGCTTGCTGGATAACATGACAGTCAGCCTGTTTCTCCTAGAATCTCTTGCAGTCTTTAAAACTTGCAAAGAATTCATTTCAGGCTTTATGAGAATGATGTAGCACTTGGGGACAAAGATGCAGCCCAGGAGCCCAGCACCAGAGGCCAAGATGGAGAAGACCTCCACGGCCACCATCACCTTCCCCTTGGTGCTCTGGTACACAGGCAGGAAGGTCACCCACACACTGCAGAACACCAGCATGCTGAATGTCAGGAACTTGGCTTCATTGAACGTGTCAGGCAGCTGCCTGGCAAGGAAAGCCACAGTGAAGGTGCCCAGGGCCAACGAGCCCAGGAAGCCCAGCACACAGTAGAAGGCAGTGATGGAGCCCTCGTTGCACAAGAGGATGATGTGTCCATGCTCAGAGTGTGCATCTGTGTCCACAAAGGGAGGAGATGTTGCCAGCCAGATGGCACAGAGAGTCAGTTGGATGAGGAAGCAGATGGGAATGACAGCATTTGGGGCTCCTGACACCAGCAATCGCCTCATGGTCCTTCCAGGCTTCATGGCCTTGAAGGCCAGAACCACAGTGATGGTTTTGGCCAGCACGGCAGAAACAGCCACTGTGAACACCAGGGCAAATGTGATTTGTCTTAGGAGGCAGGTGGCTGTGTTGGGACGGCCAATGAAGAGGAAGGAGCAGAGGAAGCAGAGGAGGAGTGAGATGAGCAGGATGTAGCTGAGGTTGCAGTTATTGGCCTTGACGATGGGTGTGTCCTGGTGCTTCACAAAGACTCCAAGGATAGCAGCTGTGATGAGGGACAGGGCCAGAGCCATGCAGACCAGGACTGTCCCCAGGGAATCCTCTAAGGCCAGGAATGTCACCACCTTGGGAGGCAACGAGTTCTCTCCCTGTTTGGGTACTCATGCTTTGCGCACTGGATGCACTGCTCTGCATCTGAGGAAGAATTCAGAGTTTCTGTGTTATGAGGTTTTCATTTTTTTTCTCATGGAAAGCAAGGATCATCTTGGCAAGTATAAGTTATGTCTGATGGATTGCCAGGACTACTTATGGTGTATTTCTCATCTAGGGAGTAAGCCTGCTGCTGCCGGGAGCCAATCAGTTCAGAGGGTGTGAGGCCTTGAGTTAGCTCATCCTATCACCATAGTTATGGATGCTGCCTGTCCTGATTTCATCTATACCACACGTTTGCCTTAGGAGGAGCCTACAGTACCACAGCTGGAGGACTGGCTTGGCGCAGTGGCTTTTGAAGTCTTCTTTCATGCGTAGAGGAGGAAATGGGACTTGGTCATTCTCCTGAAACCACTTGGCTTAGCAATTTCCTATTAGGGACTGTATTCTTTTGTGTTTTATTTGATATCTGGTAGGACACATCATTCCTCATTCTACATTTTTTTTTCAGTGTTAGTAGGTTCTTGTCCCCTTTCTTATATAAATGTTAGTTTTGGAGAATTAAAATAACCCAGCCACTGTTCATTTCTACAAGGCTGAGTATTTTAATCGAATGACTAAAGGGTAGATTGCATTTTCACAGTTTTCATTCATTAGTGTCCCCAAAATGGTTTGTTCATAAATATTTTATAATATATTGGGAGAATGTCATAATTTCTATCAGCTTTGTACTCCCTGCCGTGTTGGCTTTAAGAGCTCACCCCTAGCGCCCCGCTGCGTGGCCTAGCGGCTAAAGTCCTTGCCTTGAATGCGCTGGGATCCCATATGAGCGCCGGTTCTAATCCCAGCAGCTCCACTTCCCATCCAGCTCCTTGCCTGTGGCTTGGGAAAGCAGTGGAGGACGGCCCAAAGCCTTGGGACCCCACACCCGTGTGGGAGACCTGGAAGAGGTTCTTGGTTCCTGGCTTTGGATTCGGCACAGCACAGGCCGTTGCGCTCACTTGGGGAGTGAATCATCGGACAGAAGATCTTCCTCCCTGTCTCTCCTCCTCTCCGTATATCTGACTTTGTAATAAAAATAAAAATAAATCTTAAAAAAAAAAGGCTCACCTCTGGTGTCACAGTGAGTCAGCAGATAGGACCGTGGGCCTTTTGTCTGAATTCTGTTTATGGAAATAGAAGCTGGGTAGCTATTTTTGTTTTTTTCCTCTAAGGATTTTACTCAGGTTTTTCAGGGGAGACTCAGAGTGCTACCATATTCTCAAATAATCTAGGGTGGATCTTTCTCTCACATCTACATAGCTTTTCTGAAGGTGTCATGTTCTCAGCTTTGAGTCACCCATTATTTTCCGGGCTTCTGTCCCAGAGACATGCCAGATGCACACAGGCGCATGGATTTTGTATTATGCATCTCGAGTTCTATGTTCCTGAATTTCTCCCTCGTGTTGATATGCTTATGTATCGGTCGATATCCTTCCTGAAAGAGGGAAGACGTACTTGTTCTCTGCCAAGTAACCCACTCCGTGATTCCTCTTTGCTAAAATGATTGAAATGGCAAAGGCTTAAGGATGCCATTCAGATCTTGACAATATTCTTGACAGTTTGAAAGCCCCAAATATTTAAAACTGGTTCTTTTACACTTTTTGTTGTTGTTGTTTTGAGATATAATTCCTGAAGTGTGTACTAGTGTACTAAGTATTTCTAGAAGAGTTTGTTGTTGTCACTGTTGCTTTTAGGATGTCGTGTTCGTGTTCCAACTTGCTCCTTGTCTTTCCTAGAGGATGTGTTTTCGAAGCATAGGGGCCTGATGTTAACTCGTTTGTACCTTGTACTGTTTGTTAAAGGTGTGATGTGGAAAGTGATCAAATGTTTCCAGCATGTTGACTTGTACTCGCTGATTTATTTATCCCCTGAGTACAGTCAACAGGATCACATCTTCCGTTTCTTGGTAGACTATGGCCAGATCTCTCCAGGAGATCTGATTGAGGCTGGTTTAACTCAAACGTGGTGCCTAAAGAGAGAGATCTACCGAATCTCTCTTAGAATCAGTGCCACAGGTTCAGCTCAGCTCATGGGATGAGTCTCCCCAGAGGATAAACGGACAGCTATTGGGAGAGTAGTGGTGTTTCTTATAGGATGGATGTAGCAAAAGCATGAATGAGTGTGTGCTTTGGAAACTGTAGTGTTATGAACCCAGTTCCCAGTATTCTTGGTTTCCTTTCTACTGAGATGAGAGGGGTAACGTTAGTGCAGGGAAGGGACACATTTTCTACCTGTCTGATTGGAAACGCCTCCGTCCTGGCACAAGACACAGATAAAGCAGCAGACAGGTCTTCCTTCCTGTGCAATTCTCATGAATCCTGGAGAGCAACTCTGGCTGCACACAGACTGGGAAGCCTGCAAAGAAACAAGGAAGACTTGGCCATTTGTTGCAGATTAGCAGCCACTTTGATAGGGTGCTGATTTTTAGCGCCTCAACACAGAAGACATGGGCCTTCAAAGACAGGTCATTCTTCCATTTCCCTCCACATTGATGTCTACAAGTCTAATATCCTCTAACTTCCTCTTTGATGTTGGGCTTCTTCTTTGTCTTTACACAAGGCATCTGAGCACCTTTATTTCATGAAATGTTAATAGCAACCCTCTTGGTTTTTCTCTCCCCTTCAAAATCATTTCAACATAGGTTCCTGTAATGTAAAGATTCTGAGAGAGCCTGTGCATGAGGAGATGAGGCATACTCAGAAACAATCCTGGAAAATGTCTAGTATGAAAAAGTCATGCTTGCATTTTCCAGTGAACAGTTGAAGCGCTTTCATCGGATCATCATGGTCTCTCCCTGGTTGGTGAACAAGACTTTAACATTAGCGCAAAATAACCTAAGGCAGTGATGAGCTCAGACACTACTCTGGGCTCCTGAGGCAGAGCAGAGCCCTCTCCTCCATATAGGAGCACTGTGGGATGGCAGACACACCTGTCGCCTAAATGGCCTAGGACAGACAGTCCCTGTTTCGAAAGACCACATAGATCATGGTCATTGCTAGAGAAGCTTCGTTGAACAAAGGTTGGAAACTGAACGGTATGCCCATGTGTGGGACAGCGGACACAGTGTGCCCAAAGACGTGTTCTCGCGTCAGGTCATAAACCGCTTCCCTATCTTCTACATCAGTGCATAACTGAGGTTCCAAGCATGCATGGCTCAGGGTGGAGATTCCGACCATGCACCTGGAGACCTATGTTTGGTATTTCTATGAATGTGTTTTAATCTCACTTCATTCCCTAAACTGCTGCAGAACTGGTGAGGACAGACACAGCGTACAACACAGGCAGAAAAATCAACAGAGCCAAGGTGGATTGAGTGCTAAACTGAAGGGTTTGCAGTACATGTGATTTTAGGAGTGTGTTCATGGCTCTGTCCCACTCTGGAAATGGAAACATACCTCGATGAATGCAACGGGCCATTCTATCCATTCCTCATACATGAACAGGACTGGCTCCTCTGAATTCGTGGAGGAAAACTCTCCAACTTTAACCAGCAGTCCAAGACCGGTCGGGAAGCTCACAACATTGTGGATGTCATATTGGACTGTAGGGTTTCTGGTTTCATCCAGGGATATGTGGCTGCCAGCGCTGTTTACAAACTGGAGTGTCCTCAGAAACGGATGGAGCTAGAAGGAAGACACATCGAAGGGTAAGGACATTCAGTGGCCACGTGAAAGTCTATATGTAATCCACTCTCCTCCCTCCTGACAACCAGGAGTTCTTTCTGGCAGAGGCTGAGTTTTTTGTCACGCACCCTTAAGGGAGAGGAGCTCTTCTCACACCCTCTCTGGAGAAAGAAGCAAGTTTATTTACAAGTATCCAGGGTGTTGTCTAGAGCGTTGAGATGTGGGCTGCAGCCCTCACTATAAAGGAGTCCCCTTGGGGCTTCTCAGAAAGAGAACCGTGGGAGACAATTAACATACAGGCATACAGTCAGGGTCCCGAAGATGGTGACAACGTATTTGCAGATATCAAAACATTTCAGCGGAAAGGACGGACTTGACCAGTTTGTCATCCCTGCCTTTTGTCATGAGCTATGTTTTGGATATGTGCATGACAGGGTTGTCTCCCACTTGAAGGATGCTCTGGGATGCAGTTTCTAATGAAAGGGTTAGAAAAGGGGTACCCCCGTCACACAGTTTCCCAAGCATGGGCGACAGTTACAATGAGAAGTACTCAAATACCCATCTTTCATGTCCTTGATCTCTCTCATCTTGAGATAAGAAAGGGGTCACCTTGACGTGAGGCTGTAAACCCTCCCCCCCCTGTGTCTCCCACCAGGTGCTTGGTGCAGAGCTGTGTGCAAGAAGGGGTTACCTGCCAGGGAAGCAGCACAGGGCTGTCTGCAGCTGTTGAAGATGTCATTTCCACGTCCCTCAGGAACAGCTTGTGGAGGGCGAGGGCCACCACATGCACAGCATTGTAGATGGAGTAGCTGGCATCCGATAAGGTCCTCATGTCCATGTCAGCTGGCAGGAACTCAAGGGAAGCATGGGGCGGGCAGACCCCAATTTCTCCACACAGCGAGCCCTCCAGCGAGCAGTGGAATGTGTGAAGCCAGAGTTTGCTGAAATAGAAGTCTTCTGGGTAGTGGGAGGGGTTGACTGTGCCCAGGAAGGGCTGGAGGCCGGGGATCTCCTCGTGGTGGTGGGAAAAGGAGAAGCCCCCGTGGAAAGAGTGCAGCAGGTGGGCTGTCTCGTACACCACGAGGTCTCGCTTGCACACCATCACCCACACCTTCCCTACGGTGAGAAAGAATTCCCCGGAAATGTCTACATGCACGAGGGCCCTTACGTCCCCGTAGAGGATGTGCACGCTTGCATTCGAAGCTGGGATCCTGTTCATGAAAGCGACATCAGAAGAGGCATACATCCTTCCCGTGGCAGGCAGCTTCACGGTCAAGGCCACACAGACGCCTTTCAGGACCATCTCCCCACCGAGTTCCTGCAGGAACCACTCTCCTCTCATGTCATCGGACACAAACAATGCCACCCATGTCCAACCAAAATGCAGCAGCAGGGCGAGGATACCCTGGGCCAGAGCGCCATCACGGGTGGCCATCTGGTACAGGGAGGGGAAGCGGGACCTGTCACTCAGCACGGGATCCGAAGGGCCATAGGTGAGCTGTGTGAGAAAGGACAGGCACTCAGCGAGATTCGGGACTGTCCCTCGGGGAAGAGGAGTGAAAGGATTCTGTCCGGGGATGCCCCCGGATGGAACAAAGGTTGGAGAGAAACAGAGCTGGAAAGACTGCCCAATGCCCCCTCCTCCTGACCCCTGCATCCCAGCTTGGTCACACTAAGAAGGGACATTGAGACCCTCACCAGAAAACTCAAGAGCACCCTTGGAGCTGTGGGCTGATGCCAAGACCTGCCAAGTACCCGGTGCACAAGATCTGAGACAGAGAGCAGTATTGACCTTCTTAATCTCCTGATCCTTGGAATTACCGATTCCCACTCCCTCCGCATTCTCACCCTCCTCCCTGTCTTATCTTGGCTATGCGAAGTCAACTCAGCCTCTTAGATTTCCTATAAGGCGATTTCCCCACAGCGGAGAGGTCTCTGAGGTGGAGCATGTCTTATGTTTGGCAGGAATACCTGCATGGACGGGTCCTCTCTTTAGGAACCTTTGAGACAAGCAGTTGTGAGGGGAATGCTCTCAGCAGCGCTGTCATGGCATTAGCCTGGGTGGGTGGGAGGAGAGTGTGGTCTCCATGTTCTGCTCCTTGGAGCTCTGCGGAGCTGTCGTGGCTCTTCATGCTGTCCCCAAGGGACCATCTGATGAAGTTGCTGTCCAGGCCTCTGACAGTTGATGGCCTCTGGTTGCCTCCTGAGATGGTCTTATGCCCTTGGCATAAGGACAGGGCAGTTCCGTGGGCTGTAGACACTGGCTACAAGGCACAGTGCTGTGGGCAGACAGCAGCTGGTAATCAAGCAGGGATGTGTGTGTGTGTGTGTTTGGGGATGGGTGGACACCCTGGCTTTGGGTTGAGGCTCTCAGTCTACACAGCCCACTCACCTGTGGGGTTCTGTAGAGCTCCAGAAGCATCTGTGTTTCCTCAGAAAATGCTGACGTGGTCCCTGCAATGATCGCGACCGGGCTGTGCTGTGTCTGGCAGCTGTAGTTGGGGCGCACGGTCAACGTTCCACTCAGGCCATGCAGGGCTCCCCACAAGGTGAACTGGTTGCTGGCAATGGCGTTGTACAACTGGAAGCCCAGGGTCTTGTTCGGGAGCAGGTGGTGGTCCTTGTTGATCTCCTGGATGGCAAAGTAGAAGGCCAGCACATATTGGTAGTTCTTCCACAGCCACCTGAACAAGAGAGAGAGGGTTAGACCATGGAATTCAGTATTGCACCCTGGCTCTCTCCTGAAACAGCAGACCTGAGCTGCCAGCCCATGCAGCCCCATCCCCAGTGATGGTTACCTTGGTTACAGAAAGTCGGTGGACACCACAGTGACCTCAACCAGTGATCTGGCACTCCCCGAAGGCAGCCAAGGCCTTGTGTGGACCAATGATGGACAAAGGCCAATATTCCCTGTTCTATCAGGACCCAGGCAGGGCTGATGTCAGCCCCCATGTCCAAGGGGGTATAAAACCTTTGTCTCCTCTACCCAGCTTGTCTTTCCCACTTGGGGTTCCTCTCCTCTCCTGTCCATTCCTCCAGTCCCAGGAATGGACATCTCTTGGCATAATAAAGGCCTATTTGTACTTGGCTGGTATTTGCTTTTTTGAGTGGTTGGCAGATCTAATACCCAGCTCATACAGCTGTTGGGCTTGAGCTCCCAAGGGCTAAAACATTTGCACAGTACAGCATTGACAAGGCAGGGGACGCGTGGCATTTAGCCTCTTCCTGGGCAGGCTTAGGTTCTAAGATCATCTACAAGGCAGGTGCCTCCGTGTGCTGTCATGGGCCAGCTAAGGATGGTGGGGCACACGCTCACATCAAGGCTTTAGAAACATCTGAAGGTGTGCCAGCCTGGATCCCACGCCAGCGTGGGGGCAGGAGGCAAGACACACACGTAGCTTTGCTGTTTTGTTTCCTGAGTCCGGGACTTGTTTCAGTGGCTCCTGAGTGGCAAGTTTTCAGAACTCTGGGAGCCCTTAGCTCTGAAACCACCTTATATTCCAGGTACCCCCCCAACCCCTCAAGCCTTTTCTCATGTAATGTGTCCACTCTTCTGAAAACAGTTTTTCCTCCGTTGCACCGTCCTTGAAATTTAAGTATTGTGCTCCAGCGTTCCACCTGATTTTCACAGTTTCCTTAAATGTTCTTTCTCTCTAGGGAATTCCTTTATCCCGTCCCAACTACCTTGACTATACTTTCTTCTTTCTCAGTAGTTAACTGGGTGGTGTTGTTTTCATTGTAAGCTTGAATTGCTATTTCTTTCTCACAACGAATTCTTTTTTCTTCTTACAGCTTTTCTGCTCTCTTCCGGATGTTTCCTATTTCAACATTCAAATTTTTGAAAAAGTTATTCATCATTTAAAACGTGCCGTGTGTCTCCGTGCATCCAGACCAACCATGGACTGACTCGCAGTGAAACCGTTCACAGCATCCTGACAACAGGATGCTGGAATCTCTGACGCTGTCCGTGCCCTCAGTGTCAGGACACACTTCAACAATAGCAAGATGGACCTACGACTGTTCCTGAAACATCACCCGTTCTAACACCAGAGGGGAGATCAATGGGGGTGGGACGGGGATCTTGGGGAGGCGGTGAGACATACCAGAGCCTATGGAACTGCATCATAAAACAATACTAAGAAATGATTTTAAAGATGATGAGAAATGAAAAGTTAAAAAAAATAGTATTATGAAAATATATTGAGTGGCCCAGCACAGTGGCTTAGTGGCTAAATCCTTACCTTGCAAGCACTAGAATTCCATATGGGCGCTGGTTCTTTTCATGACTGCTCTACTTCTTTTTTTTTTAAGATTTATTTATTTATTGCAAAGTCAGATATTCAGAGAGGAGGAGAGACAGAGAGGAAGATCTTCCGGCCGATGATTCACTCCCCAAGTGAGCGCAATGGCCGATGCTGTGCCGATCCGAAGCCAGGAGCCAGGAACTTCTTCCGGGTAACCCACACGGGTGCAGGGTCCCAACGCTTTTGGCTGTCCTCGACTGCTTTCCCAGCCACAAGCAGGGAGCTGGATGGGAAGTGGAGCCACTGGGATTAGAACCCAGCACGTTCCCAGCACGTTCAAGGCGAGGACTTTAGCTGCTAGGCCACGGCACCAGGCCTGACTGCTCTACTTCTTAACTGGCTCCCTGCTTGTGGCCTGGGAAAGTAGTGGAGGACAGCCCAAAGGTATCATGGGATGCCCAGAGGAGACTCCTGGCTCCTGGCTTCAGCTGTGGCCATTGCAGCCACTTGAGGTGTGAACCACTGGATGAAGGGCCTTTCTCTCTGTGTCTCCTTCACTGTGTAACTGCCTTTCCAATTAAAAAAAATCTAACATATGATTATAATAATTAAACATATATAAGTACATACTAAATATTATACATAATAAATGTAATATGTATTAATACATATTGCCAGAAAAGTATTGTAGATATTGGTGCCTGGCATAACATGGGTAAGCAAGGCATTGTGAAATGAGCCAGTCAGTAAGATCACACGGAGAACCCGCTGAGAAAACTGTCCGGGTTGGGCAGATCCATGGAGCAGCGCTGCAGGCTAGTGCTGGGAGGAAGCAAGGGGTGGGATGCTAATGGGATGGAAATTCATAGGTTTTGCAGCAAGCACTAGACAAGCAGTCCCCAGGGCTTTATGCATATGTGAGTCTGCAGACCCAATGGGTATGTATCCCACATACCTGTTTTTAAATGTATTTTGGAGAGAGAGGAATGGAGAGAGCGAGCCTGCCCCTTCTCAGGCTCCCAGGGGCTGGGGCTTTGCCCAGGTCTGCAGCTAGGAGCTAGGGGTCTCAGCAGAAGGTCCCACATGGGTGGCACAAAAGTGCAGCTAGGAGCTGGGACCTCACCAGAAGGTCCCACATGGATGGGACAACAGTCCTTTGGGCTGTTACTGCTGCAGCCCCCTTGTCCTCCATCTGCAGGAAGATGCTGAACTGGCATCTCAATGTGGAGGTCACATGCCCAGCCCAGCCCTGTAATACTGATCAAGAAGAGAAGCCAACTATGTTTAGGTATTCGATGTGACACATAGCATGTTTGGAAGAAGTGGAAGTAACCTGTGTTTGTCACTTAGAGTAAATTGTGTGCACACGAGATGGCTCCATAAGACAACCCATTTGCAGAATGTGTCGGGCGGTCTGTGTCCACATGCAGCGTACACACCTCACAGCAAGACCTGGAGAATTCTAGCACTCAGGCAGCACCTGATGACCTGGCCCCTACTGCACGGAGCAGAACCAGACAGTTCTTGGGCAGGAGAAGGGTCTGATCCTGAAGACTCAAGAGAGTGGAGCAGACAAGAATGGTGTGTTGGACCTGGTGGCGTGGCCTAGTGGGTAGAGTACTCCTCGCCTTGAACGTGCCAGGATCCCATATGGGCACCAGTTCTAATCCCAGCAGCCCCACTTCCCATCCAGTTCCCTGCTTGTGGCCTGGGAAGGCAGTCGAGGACGGCCCAATGCTTTGGGACCCTGCACCTGCGTGGGAGACCCGGAAGAAGTTCCTGGATCCTGGGTTCGGATCGGCATAGCATCGGCCATTGCGCTCACTTGGGGAGTGAATCATCGGACGGAAGATCTTCCTCTCTGTCTCTCCTCCTCTCTGTATATCTGACTTTGCAATAAATAAATAAATCTTTGAACCTACCTGGCAGCTGCCACAGTACTTCCCGGACTATTCAGAAAATACAGGTAGGTTGGTTCTGGCTCCTGCTGCCTGTAATAAAGAGGGAAAAACCCCAAGAGTATGAGGTCTCCATGCCTGTAGACGGTGGGCCCGAGCTGTCTCAGGCACCACTGTTCCCGCAGCAACGAGGACTGAAGCCATGGTGAGACCAGGAAGAGGCAAATTAGCCTGAGCAGCATGGAAGGCTGAGCCACGATGGAGACCAAGGCCCGCCTCCTGGCTGAGCCTAGGGCAGGATGGGCTTGGCGTGGTTCTGCGGGTGAGCCTTCAAGCCGGGAGATCCAAGATCTGTGCAGAATCCAGAGGTTGCTGACAAGGGTGTGCCCTGGGACGGCCCGGGTCAGGTGTCCTGTAACAGCCCAAAGCAAGGCAGCCTCCACAGGCTGACCCCTATCCCACAGTCTCCTTGTTTCTCAGTAGTTCTGTCTCTCTGTCTTTTTGACTGCTCTCCCACAGTCCTTGGTGGGATTTGAGGAGCTCTGTGCCCCGGGGCCTCTGCACCTGAAATTCTACAAACTAATTTTGAAAAACATGTTTTTCGAAAACATGTTTATCATACATCCTCTGGGATGCATGGTTTCATCATGTTTGCTCCCCTCCCACCCCCAGAAACACCAGCTCTGTAAACATCCATCCGGAAGGAGCCAGAGGTCACTGGGTCAAGGAGACGATGCTGAGGGCCATGGCAGGTGTAGAAAGAGCTGAGGCTGCATTCAGGAAGCCACACAGGGGCATCACTTACTGTCATTTGTGTGGGAGACTGAAAAGTGTTCTGAGTCACAGGGATCCCCAAAGAAGGCAGTTTCTCGTATGATACCACCCCTGTGTCTGTGGGGTCTCCTGAGAAGATGGGAGTGTCCCCCTGCCCACCACTCCCTTCTCTTGTCAATCTGGCTTGCTGCATTTCTGCTTCTGAGCATCCTGGGAAGACACACTCCTCATTCCTGGATTTACCGTGTAAAAACCAAGACAATGTTCTTGCCTGAATCCTAAACATCTGTCGTCATGTCTCTTCTATTTGTTTTTTTTTTTTTTATATATATAAGATTCGTTTATTTATTATTGCCAAGTCAGATATACAGAGAGGAAGAGAGAGGAAGATCTTCCATCTGATGAATCACTCCCCAAGTGGCTGGTGCTGCCCCGATCTGAAGCCAGGAGCCAGGAGCCTCTTCCGGGTCTCCCACACGCAGGTGCAGGGTCCCAAGGCTTTGGGCCATCCCTGATGCTTTCCCAGGCCACAAGCAGGGAGCTGGATGGGAAGCAGGGTGCCCACATGGGATCCTGGCAAATGCAAGGCAAGGACTTTAGATGCTGGGCTACCATGCCAGGCTGTCACATCTCTCTCTTTTAAACCACTGCTGATGTCAAAAGCTTTTGATACAACTACCTCATTTATGATTTTTTTTCATTTATCTTAGTTTATTTCAGGGCAGCTGGGGGGGGTCTACTTTTCTCACCTGAGTGTGGAAATGACTAGTAACAATGAGAGCTTTATGAGCCACTATGTTTACTGTAGATTCTGATATGGTTTCCTCTTAGTCATTTAACCTGTCTGAATGATTCTAAACAACTATGACTTCATGGCAATTTTTTTCCCAGTCCAATGTGAAGGGATTTGATGTGTTAGGTTTCTCAGAATGACATGTCAGAAACAGTAGTTCTTTTCATGGCTTTTCTTTGGCTGAAATTTAAAATGCAGTTACCAAAGTCTAGCGTGTACGCAGACAACCACCCAGGGTGATCCTTGGGGCATGAATTGAGGATCAGGTTTGGAAACAAGGTTTGGAAAAGCTGTTGCCCTGTGCGGCAACTGTTCGCCGATGAGGGAAGCAATTTCTTCAAGTTCGTGTTTCTTAACAGTCACCGGTGCCAGTTAATGCAAAAATAATGAAAGAATTCGTAACTCCCTCGATACTGCTTTCAAACCAACATACCAGACTTGACCTTCATTAGAATGTAGTTATTTCTTCATGCAAGCAAATCAAAAAATAAATCCAGATTTCATATAAATATATATATATATATTTTTTAAATGAGTCTTCTGGGGCCAGCACGGTGGCCTAGGCGCTAAAGTCCTCACTTTGAATGCACCAGGATCCCATATGGGCACTGGTTCTAATCCCGGTAGTTCCACTTCCCATCCAGCTCCCTGCTTGTGGCCTGGGAAAGCAGCAGAGGACGGCCCAAAGCCTTGGGACCCTGCACCTGCGTGGGAGACCTGGAAGAGGCTCCTGGCTTCAGATCAGCACAGCTCCAGCCATTGCGGTCACTTGGGGAGTGAATCATCGGACGGAAGATCTTCCTCTTTCTATATATCTGAGTTTGCAATCAAAATAAATAAATTCTGGACGAGAATGTGAAGTGAGTCTCTCTTCGGAAAAAGCGATTATAACCTGAGGACACTTTGTGTTTGCCTCTTGGGCCAACACCAATCAGCCTCATCTAAATGTTTCCGTTTCACCAAAAAACATGTTATCCAACCGCTGCCTGCAGCGCCACCTGCTGGCTCAGGGTCAAGACCCCCTCCCAAGGCTTTGGGTTTGCCCACAGTACCTCTTCCTCTCTGGCTGTCATCAGATTCACCCTCACAGAGTGAGTTTCTTTTTTTTTTTGCAGCATCTTTTTCTCTTGGAGAAGGAAGACGTGCCCCAATGAACTCCGGACAAACCATATTTTGTTCAGGTTCCCAAGGATCGTGGCTTCCCTGCATTGCACTTCAACCCAACGCTGGCTCCTCCAGTTCTTCAGGTTCTGCCTCTCTTTCACAAATTCCGTTTCTATTTCTTTCTTTTTTAAAAGCTAGTTTTAGCAGAGGCCAATTGTGTCATTGCAGGTGTGTGACTTTGCAGTGTGTTGTAACTCAATGCACTGACCCTCTGTCCAGCTGAGCCCCGTGTGCCATTAGCTACATCTTTCCATCTCGCCCACAGCTAGCCTGTGGTAAGAAACATTCTAGCATTGGCTTTTAAAAGGAGTCTAACTTTTCTTTTTATTCTTATTATTTTAATCAATTTATTGTTGCTGGAAAAATCAGATGGACAGGGAAGGAGAGACAGAGAAAGATCTTCCATCCACTGGTTGACTCCTCAAGTGGTCACAATGGCCAAAGCTGAGCTGATCCAAAGCCAGGAGCTTCTTCTGGGTCTCCCCATGTGGGTGCAGGGTTCCAAAGCTTTGAGCTATCCTCTACTACCTTCCCAGGCCACAAGCAGGGAGCTGGATGGGAAGTGGAGCAGCCAGGATATGAACTGGCACATATGGGATCCTAGTACACGCAAGCCAAGGACCTCAGCCACTAGGCTCCTGTGCCAGGCCAAACAAATCTGAGTTTTGACAGTCCACATTCATGTAAGATAAGACCGAATTTGTCTTTCTGTACTTGGCTTTCTCAATAAGCATCATGTTCTTTCTTTTTTCCCTCCAAAGATTTATTTATTTATTGCAAAGTCAGATATACAGAGAGGAGGAGAGACAGAGAGGAAGATCTTCCATCTGCTGGTTCACTCCCCAAATGACTGCAATGGCTGGAGCTGAGCCGATCTGAAGCCCGGAGCCAAGAACTTCTTTCCCGGTCTCCCACAAGGGTGCAGGGTCCCAAGGCTTTGAGCTGTCCTCTGCTGCTTTCACAGGCCACAAGCAGGGAGCTGGATGGGAAGTGGAGCAGCTGGGATATGAACTGTTTCCCCTATGGCATGTCTCCCTTGTAGGGAGAAGTTAGGCCTACTATGGCATGTCAAATTCTTTTTATGAGATCAGCATCACTCTGATGACAAAGGCACAACAGGAACAGAAATTGCACATCTGTATCCTTGACCGAGAGAGAGGCACGCATTCCCAACAGAGTGCTGGAGCTGAGTATCACTCAGCATCAAGAAATGACACAGCGGGATCCAGCAGTACAGACCCCAGTTAGACGAGGGGCTCAGCATACACAACACAGTGTGACACATCACAACACAACGAAGAACACACACCACACGGGCATCGCAACTGATGTGAAGTCAGCATGTGATGGGATTCAGCATCCCTGCATGATAAAGACAATCATTCCACAATCTAAGGTTTGAAGGAACATACCCCAACGCGATGAGGATGGCAAAAACAACAAATCGGCAGCTCACAGCATCCCTCATGGGAAAGAGCTAGAAGTATTTTCTGTGCAGACAGTTACGTTTCCAATCAGACAGGTAGCAAATCCAGAATTCCGGCTTGTTAGCTTTACAGTCTTCATGAGATTCTGAGGTGACTATTTCGCCAAATGGATGATACTTAATATCTGATATGGAAACCCTATGTCTCTCTCTCTGTTTTTATTTTCAGACACACTGCACTGCATCCAGTGCGCAGAGCAGGAATACCCAAACAGGGAGAGCACTCGTGGCCTGTCTAAACAGGTAAACTTCCAGGCCTTGCAGGATCCCCTGGGGATGGCCCTACCCTGAACAGCTCTCTTCTCTCCATCCTCACAGCTGCCATCCTTGGGGTCTTCCTGAAGCACCAGGACACAGCCATCGTCAAGGCCAATAACCGCAACCTCAGCTACATCCTGCTCATCTCACTCCTCCTCTGCTTCCTCTGCTCCTTCCTCTTCGTTGGCCGTCCCAACACAGCCACCTGCCTCCTAAGACAAATCACATTTGCCCTGGTGTTCACAGTGGCTGTTTCTGCCGTGCTGGCCAAAACCATCACTGTGGTTCTGGCCTTCAAGGCCATGAAGCCTGGAAGGACCATGAGGCGATTGCTGGTGTCAGGAGCCCCAAACGCTGTCATTCCCATCTGCTTCCTCATCCAACTCACTCTCTGTGCCATCTGGCTGGCAACATCTCCTCCCTTTGTGGACACAGATGCACACTCTGAGCATGGACACATCATCCTCTTGTGCAACGAGGGCTCCATCACTGCCTTCTACTGTGTGCTGGGCTTCCTGGGCTCGTTGGCCCTGGGCACCTTCACTGTGGCTTTCCTTGCCAGGAAGCTGCCTGACACGTTCAATGAAGCCAAGTTCCTGACATTCAGCATGCTGGTGTTCTGCAGTGTGTGGGTGACCTTCCTGCCTGTGTACCAGAGCACCAAGGGGAAGGTGATGGTGGCCGTGGAGGTCTTCTCCATCTTGGCCTCTGATGTGGGTCTGTTGTGCTGCATCTTTGTTCCCAAATGCTACATCATTCTCCTAAGACCTGAGAGGAATTGTTTGCAACTTTTAAAAAATACCAGAAATTCTAGGAAGACTGTCTCATTATCTCACAAGACTCCATCACCCTGATTGCGCCTCTGGTGTTTGACAGTCCCTGAGCCTGATGTGCCCTGACAGCCACCTGCTCAGAACAGCCACTCAACAGAGGAACAAATTCAGCGCCAGAGGAAGCCCTGGCACGGGAGCTGTCTTGCATTGGCACCTGTGAGCATGCCAACGTATTCAACTCATTTCCACATTTTACGTAACGCTGCTTATTTATAATTCCCCCAATTTTTTTATTATTATTATCTTAGTATTATTATTTTATGACACAGTTCCATAGACCCTCCGCATCTCTCGTCCCCTCCCACACTTACACACACGCTTAGTTCTTCCATATCATTGCAACAGCATAATTCTGTGCCCAACGGTGTGTCCTAGTAGCTAAAGTCCTCACCTTGAATGCTCTGGGATCCCATATGGGTGCTGGTTCTAATCCTGGCAGCCCCACTTCCCATCCAGCTCCCTGCTTGTGGCCTGGAAAAGCAGTGGAGGACAGCCCAAAGTCTTGGGACCCTGCACCTGCGTGTGAGAGACCTGGAAGAAGTTCCTGGCTTCTGGCTTCAGAACAGCATAGCATCGGCCGTTGCATTCACTTGCAGAGTGAACCATCGGATGGAAGATCTTCCTCTCTGTCTCTCCTCCCCTCTGTATATCTGACTTTCCAATAAATACATAAATCTTTGGAGGGAAAAAAAAAAAGAATTTCAAAGTTCTCTGTTGCTCTCTCAAAAACACAAATCAGTTCCTAGACCACTCTGACTTTCCCATTGCACACAGGACATTCAAGAGGCAGTGCAGTCATCAGCTCTATATATCTTGGGGAGTGTTTATCACCCTGTTACCCCACCATGACCCAGGAAGCAGTCAGGCGGACATGGAGGCCACAGCACCAGCATCTCCTGGTGCATTTACCTGTCACATGGACTCGCAGATGCAAACCTGGATCTCTCACACTCAGCACTGTTGACAGGTTCACGCACAGGGTAGCCCCCAGTCGCTTTCCAGCTTTCCACTCAGCAGATGCACCACGTTGTATTCATCCACGTTAGGGCTGTCTTCCCTTTGCCTGCTATACACAGCTCTCCACGAGCGCTGGTGTCTGATGATTCTGATGATCTGTCATAGGGTGTATTATCACCTCTACTGATTGACCCCCTGGGAGTGGAAAGGCTGGGCTATTTGGCAATTCTTCCTTTATCTTTCAACATGCCACCCAACGCTTTCCTATAGTGCTTGCAGTCTTAGCAGCAATGTGTAAATGCCCCAGGTCCCCCACATCTGAGGAACAGATACCTGAATGTCACTTGGAAGTCTAAAAGAGGGTGAGAGGTTGTTTTGAACCTCAAGTTCTTCACAGATTTGCTAGTAAAAGCCAACTCCCTGGGACCACACGGTGGCGCTGGAGCACCTGCCCAGAGTCCCTGATTCCGAGATGCTGAGTCAGGAATGTTTTGTCTATTGAAGCTGAAGTGGGGGGTCCCCTAGCCTAGGCTCCCCATCTCTGGTGTGAGGGAACACCCCTCAGCGGTGAGGCACTGGATTATTGCTAATATTCCGGAAGGCAAATAGAAGGCCTGCACCTGCTGCCTTTCACAGCTTCTTGAATTCACACACAGTAAAACAACCAAGGGATGGATAGAGGGGTGAGCAGGGTGAGGCAGTGTGGAAGCTGCTGGGATTCCCCTGGGGGCGGGGGATGATCTGGGCACATTCAGGAAGGTTGCTAAAGGCAGGTTCCCAGGGCCTGCCCTGCAGCCCCCACCTGCTGGCCTGCTGACATTTGCACAACGAATCCCACCTTGACTAGGAAGCTACTTCAGTGTGTTCAAGGCAAAATGGAATTTAACTGTGGCGAGGGAAGGCGCACAAACACTTGTGAGACGTACATGTGGTTTTATTTTCATTTCCCATAGCATTGCCCATTGGCCTGGACACAGCTTATCCCTCCCAAGAGCTCATGTGGTGGGAATCTGATCCCCAATATGGTGGTGGTAAAAGACTGGGGTGGCACCATGATATGACAGGCTAGCCTCTGCCTGCAGAGCCAGCATCACATATGGACAGAAGTTCATGTCCTGGCTGCTTCACTTTCCCATCCAGCTCCCAGCTTGTGGCCTGGGAAAGCAGGAGAGAACGGCTGAAAGCCCTGGAACCCTGCACCCTTGAGGAAGACCCGGAAGAAGCTCCTGACTTTGCATCAACTCAGCTGCCATCATTACAACCCCTTGGGGAGTGCATGAGTAGACAGAGGATCCTTCTCTGTGTCTCTCGTTCTCTCTGTAGATCTTTAATACAAATAAAACTAGATCTTTTAAAAAGAGTTTGTGGGGGAAAGTGGGAGTAAAAGATATACTTATTCTGGTAGGTAAAGTGTGTGTGTGTGAGTGTGTGTGTGTGTGTGTGTGTGTGTGTGATGTGCTTGTAGTGTTTTCCCATTTTAATGGAAGAATTTCTCCAACCGTTCCCCTAGTCACTGTACAACTTTGTGGGCTCAAGACTGTGCAGATCCCCCCTCTTCCAAGCACAGGTACCCTGCTACTCCCCAAGACTCAGCACAGTAAAAGTGAGTAAGTAAAAGTAGATATGAGAAGATATAGCACACTTTCAGAGTGTCTTAGCATTATATAGACACTGACATTATCCACATAGGATACATGAAATGTGGAACTTTCTGACTCTGCCATTGCCAGAAGAGCCATGCTCAAAGAAAGGGACACGGCTATTGTATCTTCATGCTGATCTGAGGTTTGGATAACACCATGATTGTTTTTACTCAGGTAAGACTGTCTCAGCCTGTGCATTAAGTCTGGGGGAGAGAGACACAGAAGGTAAGGAATAAATCAGAAACACATCCCATTTTATGCATCGTCTCTCTCCATTCCGATGCTTGTGTCAGGGCTGTGTCAAAAGCCAACAAGAGGAGTCAGACGAGGCTGGGTGGCTGGAACCAGGATGTCCCAGAGGTGGTCAGATGTACAGGTCTGAGCCAGGACCAAACATGGATCCCATGTACCCTACTAGGCTATCTTAACTACACACAAATAGTAAACAGGAAGAAGGACATAATATTACACCTGAATGCAGCTAAGTACAATTTTGGGTTGCAATCTCTTCAAATATGATAGTGAAAACTTTTGAAAAAATATTTAGACATGCTTAAAACCTGCTTTTTTCCTTAAGCTTTTCAAAGAATTCTTTTCAGGCTTTACGAGAATAATGTAGCATTTGGGGACAAAAATGCAGCACAACAGACCCACATCAGAGGCCAAGATGGAGAAGACCTCCACGGCCACCATCACCTTCCCCTTGGTGCTCTGGTACACAGGCAGGAAGGTCACCCACACACTGCAGAACACCAGCATGCTGAACGTCAGGAACTTGGCTTCATTGAACGTGTCAGGCAGCTTCCTGGCAAGGAAAGCCACAGTGAAGGTGCCCAGGGCCAATGAGCCCAGGAAGCCCAGCACACAGTAGAAGGCAGTGATGGAGCCCTCGTTGCACAAGAGGATGATGTGTCCATGCTCAGAGTGTGCATCTGTGTCCACAAAGGGAGGAGATGTTGCCAGCCAGATGGCACAGAGAGTGAGTTGGATGAGGAAGCAGATGGGAATGACAGCATTTGGGGCTCCTGACACCAGCAATCGCCTCATGGTCCTTCCAGGCTTCATGGCCTTGAAGGCCAGAACCACAGTGATGGTTTTGGCCAGCACGGCAGAAACAGCCACTGTGAACACCAGGGCAAATGTGATTTGTCTTAGGAGGCAGGTGGCTGTGTTGGGACGGCCAATGAAGAGGAAGGAGCAGAGGAAGCAGAGGAGGAGTGAGATGAGCAGGATGTAGCTGAGGTTGTGGTTATTGGCCTTGACGATGGGAGTGTCCTGGTGCTTCAGGAAGACCCCAAGGATGGCAGCTGTGAGGATGGAGAGAAGAGAGCTGTTTAGGGAAGGCCATCCCCAGGGGATCCTGCCAGGCCTGGAAGTTTACCTGTTTAGACAGCCACGCGTTCTCTCCCTGTTTGGGTATCCCTGCTCTGCGCACTGGATGCAGTGCAGTGTGTCTGAAAATAAAAACAGAGAGAGAGACATAGGGTTTCCATATCAGATATGAAGAATCATCCATTTGGCGAAATAGTCACCTCAGAATCTCATGAAGACTGTAAAGCTAACAAGCCGGAATTCTGGATTTGCTACCTGTCTGATTGGAAACGTAACTGTCTGCACAGAAAATACTTCTAGCTCTTTCCCATGAAGGATGCTGTGAGCTGCTGATTTGTTGTTTTTGCCATCCTCATCGCGTTGGGGTATGTTCCTTCAAACCTTAGATTGTGGAATGATTGTCTTTATCATGCAGGGATGCTGAATCCCATCACATGCTGACTTCACATCAGTTGCGATGCCCGTGTGGTGTGTGTTCTTCGTTGTGTTGTGATGTGTCACACTGTGTTGTGTATGCTGAGCCCCTCGTCTAACTGGGGTCTGTACCGCTGGATCCCGCTGTGTCATTTCTTGATGCTGAGTGATACTCAGCTCCCAGCACTCTGTTGGGAATGCGTGCCTCTCTCTCGGCCAAGGATACAGATGTGCAATTTCTGTTCCTGTTGTGCCTTTGTCATCAGAGTGATGCTGATCTCATAAAAAAGCATTTGGCATGCCATAGTAGGCCTAACTTCTACCTACAAGGGAGACATGCCATAGGGGAAACAGTTCATATCCCAGCTGCTCCACTTCCCATCCAGCTCCCTGCTTGTGGCCTGGGAAAGCAGCAGAGGACAGCTCAAAGCCTTGGGACCCTGCACCCTTGTGGGAGACCGGGAAAGAAGTTCTTGGCTCCGGGCTTCAGATCGGCTCAGCTCCAGCCATTGCAGTCATTTGGGGAGTGAACCAGCAGATGGAAGATCTTCCTCTCTGTCTCTCCTCCTCTCTGTATATCTGACTTTGCAATAAATAAATAAATCTTTGGAGGGAAAAAAGAAAGAACATGATGCTTATTGAGAAAGCCAAGTACAGAAAGACAAATTCGGTCTTATCTTACATGAATGTGGGCTGTCAAAACTCAGATTTGTTGGGCCTGGCACAGGAGCCTAGTGGCTGAGGTCCTTGGCTTGCGTGTACTAGGATCCCATATGTGCCAGTTCATATCCTGGCTGCTCCACTTCCCATCCAGCTCCCTGCTTGTGGCCTGGGAAGGTAGTAGAGGATAGCTCAAAGCTTTGGGACCCTGCACCCACATGGGGAGACCCAGAAGAAGCTCCTGGCTTTGGATCAGCTCAGCTCTGGCCATTGTGACCACTTGAGGAGTCAACCAGTGGATGGAAGATCTTTCTCTGTCTCTCCTTCCCTGTCCATCTGATTTTTCCAGTAACAATAAATTGATTAAAAATAAGAATAAAAAGAAAAGTTAGACTCCTTTTAAAAGCCAATGCTAGAATGTTTCTTACCACAGGCTAGCTGTAGGCGAGATGGAAAGATGTAGCTAATGGCATACGGGGCTCAGCTGGACAGAGGGTCAGTGCATTGAGTTACAACACACTGCAAAGTCACACACCTGCAATGACACAATTGGCCTCTGCTAAAACTAGCTTTTAAAAAAGAAAGAAATAGAAACGGAAATTGTGAAAGAGAGGCAGAACCTGAAGAACTGGAGGAGCCAGCGTTGGGTTGAAGTGCAATGCAGGGAAGCCACGATCCTTGGGAACCTGAACAAAATATGGTTTGCTCGGAGTTCATTGGGGCACGTCTTCCTTCTCCAAGAGAAAAAGATGCTGCAAAAAAAAAAAAAGAAACTCACTCTGTGAGGGTGAATCTGATGACAGCCAGAGAGGAAGAGGTACTGTGGGCAAACCCAAAGCCTTGGGAGGGGGTCTTGACCCTGAGCCAGCAGGTGGCGCTGCAGGCAGCGGTTGGAGAACATGTTTTTTGGTGAAACGGAAACATTTAGATGAGGCTGATTGGTGTTGGCCCAAGAGGCAAACACAAAGTGTCCTCAGGTTATAATCGCTTTTTCCGAAGAGAGACTCACTTCACATTCTCGTCCAGAAGATCAATTTTAAAAAATTATTTATTTTGATTGCAAACTCAGATATATAGAAAGAGGAAGATCTTCCGTCCGATGATTCACTCCCCAAGTGAGCGCAATGGCTGGAGTTGTGCTGATCTGAAGCCAGGAGCCAGGAGCTTCTTCCAGGTCTCCCATGCGGGTGCAGGGTCCCAAGGTTTGGGCCGTCCTCTGCTGCTTTCCCAGGCCACAAGCAGGGAGCTGGATGGGAAGTGGAACTACCGGGATTAGAACCAGTGCCCATATGGGATCCTGGTGCATTCAAAGTGAGGACTTTAGCGCCTAGGCCACCGCGCTGGCCCCAGAAGACTCATTTAAAAAAAAAAATATATATATATATATGAAATCTGGATTCATTTTTTGATTTGCTTGCATGAAGAAATAACTACATTCTAATGAAGGTCAAGTGTGGTATGTTGGTTTGAAAGCAGTATCGAGGGAGTTACGGATTCTTTCATTTTTTTTGCATTAACTGGCACCGGTGACTGTTAAGAAACACGAACTTGAAGAAGTTGCTTCCCTCATCGGCAAACAGTTGCCGCACAGGGCAACAGCTTTTCTGAACCTTGTTTCCAAACTGATCCTCAATTCATGCCCCAAGAACCATTCTGGGTGGTTGTCTGCATACACGCTAGACTTTGGTAACTGCATTTTAAGTTTCAGCCAAAGAAAAGCCATGAAAAGAACTACCGTTTTTTTTTACCTGCCATTCTGAGCAACCTAAGACATCAAATCCCTTCATGTTAGACTGGGAAAAAAATTGTCATGAAGTCATAGCTGTTCAGAGTCATTCGGGCAGATTAAATGACTAAGAGGAAACCATAGCAGAATCTACAGTAAACGCAGTGGCTTATAAAGCTTTCATTGTTACTACTCATTTCCCCACTCAGGTGAGAAAAGTAGACCCTCCCCACCCCCCCGCTGCCCGGTAATAAACTAAGATAAATGAAAAAAAAATCCTAAATGAGAGAGTTTTATCAAAAGCTTTTGCCATCAGCAGTGGTTTAAAAGAGAGAGATGCGACAGCCTGGCATGGTAGCCCAGCATCTAAAATCCTTGCCTTGCATTCACCAGGATCCCATGTGGGCACCCTGCTTCCCATCCAGCTCCCTGCCTGTGGCCTGGGAAAGCAGTGGAGGACGGCCCAAAGCCTTGGGGACCCTGCACCTGCGTGTGGGAGACCAGGAAGAGGCTCCTGGCTCCTGGCTTCAGATCGGGGCAGCACCAGCCACTTGGGGAGTGATTCATCAGATGGAAGATCTTCCTCTCTCTTCCTCTCTGTATATCTGACTTGGCAATAATAAATAAACGAATCTTATATATATAAAAAAAACAAATAGAAGAGACATGACGACAGATGTTTAGGATTCAGGCAAGAACGTTGTCTTGGTTTTCACATGGTAAATCCAGGAATGAGGAGCGTGTCTTCCCAGGATGCCCAGAGGCAGATGTTCAGCACGCCAGGTTCACAATAGAAGGGAGTGGTGGGCAGGGGGACACTCCCATCTTCTCAGGAGACCCCACAGACACAGGGGTGGTATCATACGAGAAACTGCCTTCTTTGGGGGTGCACTTGGGATCCTTGCGACTCGGAACACTTTTCAGAGGCTCCCACACACATGACAGGAAGTGATGCCCCGGTGTGCCTTGCTGAGTGCAGCCTCAGCTCTTCCCACACCTGCCATGGCCCCCTCAGCATCGTCTCCTTGACCCAGTGACCTCTGGCTCCTTCCGGATGGATGTTTACAGAGCTGGTGTTTCTGGGGGTGGGGGGAGAGAGCAGACATGATGAAACCGTGCATCCCAGAGGATGTATGATAAACATGTTTTCGAAAAACATGTTTTTCAAAATTAGTTTGTAGGGTCTCAGGTGCAGAGGCCCCGGGGCACAGAGCTCCTCAAATCCCACCAAGGACTGTGGGAGAGCAGTCAAAAAGACAGAGAGACAGAACTACTGAGAAACAAGGAGACTGTGGGATAGGGGTCAGCCTGTGGAGGCTGCCTTGCTTTGGGCTGTTACAGGACACCTGACCCGGGTCCTCCCAGGGCACACCCTTGTCAGCATCCTCTGGATTCTGCACAGATCTTGGATCTCCCGGCTTGAAGGCTCACCCGCAGAACCACGCCAAACCCATCCTGCCCTAGGCTCAGCCAGGAGGCGGGCCTTGGTCTCCATCGTGGCTCAGCCTTCCATGCTGCTCAGGCTAATTTGCCTCTCCTGGTCTCACCGTCTCTTCAGTCCTCATTACTGCAGGAACAGTGGTGTCTGAGACAGCTTGGGCTGACCGTCTACAGGCATGGAGATCTCATACTCTTGGGTTTTTTCCCTCTTTATTACAGGCAGCAGGAGCCAGAACCAACCTACCTGTATTTTCTGAATAGTCCGGGAAGTACTGTGGCAGCTGCCAGGTAGGTTCAAAGATTTATTTATTTATTGCAAAGTCAGATATACAGAGAGGAGGAGAGACAGAGAGGAAGATCTTCCGTCCGATGATTCACTCCCCAAGTGAGCGCAATGGCCGATGCTATGCCGATCCGAACCCAGGATCCAGGAACTTCTTCCGGGTCTCCCACGCAGGTGCAGGGTCCCAAAGCATTGGGCCGTCCTCGACTGCCTTCCCAGGCCACAAGCAGGGAACTGGATGGGAAGTGGGGCTGCTGGGATTAGAACTGGTGCCCATATGGGATCCTGGCACGTTCAAGGCGAGGAGTACTCTAGCCACTAGGCCACACCACCGGGTCCAACACACCATTCTTGTCTGCTCCACTCTCTTGAGTCTTCAGGATCAGACCCTTCTCCTGCCCAAGAACTGTCTGGTTGTGCTCCGTGCAGTAGGGGGCCAGGTCATGAGGTGCTGCCTGAGTGCTAGAATTCTCTAGGCCTTGCTGTGAGGTGTGTACGCTGCGTGTGGACACAGACCGGCCGACACATTCTGCAAATGGGTTGTCTTACGGAGCCATCTGGTGTGCACACCATTTACTCTAAGTGACAAACACGGGTTACCTCCCCTTCTTCCAAACATGCTATGTGTCACATCGAATACCTAAACATAGTTGGTTTCTCTTCTTGATCAGTATTACAGGGCTGGGCTGGGCATGTGACCTCCACATTGAGATGCCAGCTCAGCATCTTCCTGCAGATGGAGGACAAGGGGGCTGCAGCAGTAACAGCCCAAAGGACTGTTGTCCCATCCATGTGGGACCTTCTGGTGAGGTCCCAGCTCCTAGCTGCACTTTTGTGCCACCCATGTGGGACCTTCTGCTGAGACCCCTAGCTCCTAGCTGCAGACCTGGGCAAAGCCCCAGCCCCTGGGAGCCTGGGAAGCGGCAGGCTCGCTCTTCCATTCCTCTCTCTCCCAGATACATTTAAAAACAGATATGTGGGATACACACCCTTTGGGTCTGCAGACTCACATATGCATAAAGCCCTGGGGACTGCTTGTCTAGTGCTTGCTGCAAAATCTGCGGATTTCCATCCCAGCAGCATCCCACCCCTTGCTTCCTCCCAGCACTAGCCTGCAGCGCCGCTCCATGGATCTGCCCAACCCGGACAGTTTTCTCAGCGGGTTCTCCGTGTGCTCTTACCGACTGGCTCATTCCACAATGCCTTGCATTGACTTGCTTACCCATGTTATGCCAGGCACCAATATCTACAATACTTTTCTGGCAATATGTATTAATACATATTACATTTATTATATATAATATTTAGTATTACTTATATATGTTTAATTATTATAATCATATGTTAGATTTTTTTTAATTGGAAAGGCAGTTACACAGTGAAGGAGACACAGAGAGAAAGGCCCTTCATCCAGTGGTTCACACCTCAAGTGGCTGCAATGGCCACAGCTGAAGCCAGGAGCCAGGAGTCTCCTCTGGGCATCCCATGATACCTTTGGGCTGTCCTCCACTACTTTCCCAGGCCACAAGCAGGGAGCCAGTTAAGAAGTAGAGCAGTCAGGCCTGGTGCCGTGGCCTAGCAGCTAAAGTCCTCGCCTTGAACGCGCTGGGAACGTGCTGGGTTCTAATCCCAGTGGCTCCACTTCCCATCCAGCTCCCTGCTTGTGGCTGGGAAAGCAGTTGAGGACAGCCAAAAGCGTTGGGACCCTGCACCCGTGTGGGTTACCCGGAAGAAGTTCCTGGCTCCTGGCTTCGGATCGGCACAGCATCGGCCATTGCGGTCACTTGGGGAGTGAATCATTGGACGGAAGATCTTCCTCTCTGTCTCTCCTCCTCTCTGGATATCTGACTTTGCAATAAATAAATAAATCTTAAAAAAAAAAAAAAAAGAAGTAGAGCAGTCATGAAAAGAACCAGCACCCATGTGGAATTCCAGTGCTTGCAAGGTAAGGATTTAGCCACTAAGCCACTGTGCTGGGCCACTCAATATATTTTCATAATACTATTTTTTTTTTTTTTTACTTTTCATTTCTCATCGTCTTCTTTAAAATCATTTCTTAGTATTGTTTTATGATACAGTTCCATAGGCTCTGGTATGTCTCACCGCCTCCCCAAGATCCCCGTCCCACCCCCATTGATTTCCCCTCTAGTGTTAGAATGGGTGATGCTTCACGAACAGTCGTAGGTCCATCTTGCTATTGTTGAAGTGTGTCCTGACACTGAGGGCACGGACAGCGTCAGAGATTCCAGCATCCTGTTGTCAGGATGCTGTGAACGGTTTCTCTGCGAGTCCATGGTTGGTCTGGATGCACGGAGACACACGGCACGTTTTAAATGGTGAATAACTTTTAAAAAAAATTTGAGTGTTGAAATATGAAACATCCAGAAGAGAGCAGAATAATTGTAAGAGGAAAAAGGGAATTCGTTGTGAGAAAAAAATAGCAATTCAAGCTTACAATGAAAACAACACCACCCAGTTAACTACTGAGAAAGAAGAAAGTATAGTCAAGGTAGTTGGGACGGGATAAAGGAATTCCCTAGAGAGAAAGAACATTTAAGGAAACTGAAAATCAGGTGGAACGCTGGAGCACAATGCTTAAATTTCAAGGACGGTGCAACTGAGGAAAAACTATTTTCAGAAGAGTGGACACATTGCATGAGAAAAGGCTTGAGGGGTTGGGGAGTACCTGGAATATAAGGTGGTTTCAGAGCTAAAGACTCCCAGAGCTCAGAAAACTTGCCACCCAGGAGCCACTGAAACAAGTCCCCGGCTCAGGAAACAAAACAGCGAAGCTACGTGTGTCTCGCCTCCTGCCCTCACGCTGGCGTGGGACCCAGGCTGGGACACCTTCAGATGTTTCTAAAGCCTCGATGTGAGCATGTGCCCCACCATCTTTAGCTGGCCTATGACAGCACACGGAGGCACCTGCCTTGTAGATGATCTTAGGACCTAAGCCTGCCCAGGAAGAGGCTAAATGCCACGCGTCCCCTGCCTTGTCAACCCTGTGCTGTGCAAATGTTTTAGCCCTCGGGATCTCAAGCCCAACAGCTGTATGAGCTGGGTATTAGATCTGCCAACCACCCAAAAAAGCAAATACCAGCCAAGTACAAATAGGCCTTTATTATACCAAGAGATGTCCATTCCTGGGACTGGAGGAATGGACAGGAGAGGAGAGGAACCCCAAGTGGGAAAGACAAGCTGGGTAGAGGAGACAAAGGTTTTATACCTCCTTGGACATGGGTGCTGACATCAGCCCTGCCTGGGTCCTGACAGGACAGGGAATGTTGGCCTTTGTCCATCATTGGTCCACACGAGGCCTTGGCTGCCTTCAGGGAGTGCCAGATTCTGGTTGAGGTCACTGTGGTGTCCACCGACTTTCTGTAACCAAGGTAACCATCACTGGGGACGGGGCTGCACGGGCTGGCAGCTCAGGTCTGCTGTTTCAGGAGAGAGTCAGGGTGCAATACTGAATTCTATGGTCTAACCCTCTCTCTCTTGTTCAGGTGGCTGTGGAAGAACTACCAATATGTGCTGGCCTTCTACTTTGCCATACAGGAGATCAATAAGGACCCCCACCTGCTCCCGAACATGACCCTGGGCTTCCAGTTGTACAACGCCATTGCCAGCAACCAGTTCACTTTGTGGGGAGCCCTGCATGGCCTGAGTGGAACGTTGCCCATGTGCCCCAACTACAGCTGCCAGACACAGCACAACCCAGTTACTATCATTGCAGGGACCACGTCAGCATTTTCTGAGGAAACACAGATGCTTCTGGAGCTCTACAGAACCCCACAGGTGAGTGGGCTGTGTAGACTGAGAGCCTCAACCCAGAGCCAGGGTGTCCACCCATCCCCAAACACACACACACACACACACACACACACACACACACCCCTGCTGGATTACCAGCTGCTGTCTGCCGACAGCACTGTACCTTGTAGCCAGTGTCTACAGCCCACGGAACTGCCCTGTCCTCATGCCAAGGACATAAGACTATCTCAGGAGGCAACCAGGGGCCATCAACTGTCAGACGCCTGGACAGCAACTTCATCAGATGGTCCCTTGGGGACAGCACGGAGAGCCATGACAGCTCCGCAGAGCTCCACGGAGCAGAGCACGGAGACCACACTCACCTCCCACCCACCCAGGCTGACGTCATGACAGCTCTGCAGAGAGAGAGTTCCCCTCACAACTGCTTGTCTCAAAGGTTCCTCAAGAGAGGACCCGTCCACGCAGGTATTCCTGCCAAACATAAGACATGCTCCGCCTCAGAGACCTCTCTGCTGTGGGGAAATCGCCTTATAGGAAATCTAAGAGGCTGAGTTGACTTCGCATAGCCAAGATAAGATAGGGAGGAGGGTGAGAATGTGGAGAGAGTGGGAATCGGTAATTCCAAGGACCAGGAGAGTAAGAAGATCAATACTGCTCTCTGTCTCAGATCTTGTGCACCGGGAACTTGGCAGGTCCTGGCATCAGCCCACAGCTCCAAGGGTGCTCCTGAGTTTCTGTTTGGTGAGGAACTCAATGTCCCTTCTTAATGTGACCAAGCTGGGATGCAGGGGTCAGGAGGAGGGGGCATTGGGCAGTCTTTCCAGCTCTCCTTCTCTCCAACCTTTGTTCCATTCGGGGGCATCCCCGGACAGAATCCTTTCACTCCTCTTCCCCAAGGGACAGTCCCAAATCTCGCTGACTGCCTCTCCTTCCTCACACAGCTCACCTATGGCCCTTCGGATCCCGTGCTGAGTGACAGGTCCCGCTTCCCCTCCCTGTACCAGATGGCCACCCGTGATGGCGCTCTGGCCCAGGGCATCCTCGCCCTGCTGCTGCATTTTGGTTGGACATGGGTGGCATTGTTTGTGTCCGATGACATGAGAGGAGAGTGGTTCCTGCAGGAGCTCAGTGGGGAGATGTTCCTGAAAGGCGTCTGTGTGGCCTTGACCGTGAAGCTGCCTGGCATGGGAAGGATGTATGCCCCTTCTGATGTCACTTTCATGAACAGTATCCCAGCTTCGAATGCAAGCGTGCACATCCTCTATGGGGACGTAAGGGCCCTCGTGCATGTAGACACTTCTGGGGAATCCTTTCTCACCCTAGGGAAGGTGTGGGTGATGGTGTGCAAGAGAGACCTTGTGGTATACGAGACAACCCCACCTGCTGCACTCTTTCCATGGGGGCTTCTCCTTTTCCCACTGCCATGAGGAGATCCCCGGCCTCCAGCCCTTCCTGTGCACAGTGAATCCCTCCCACTACCCAGAAGACTTCTATTTCAGCAAACTCTGGCTTCACACATTCCACTGCTCGCTGGAGGGCTCGCTGTGTGGAGAAATCGGGGTCTGCCCACCCAACGCTTCCCTTGAGTTCCTGCCAGCCGACATGGACATGAGGACCTTGTCGGATGCCAGCTACTCCATCTACAATGCTGTGCATGCGGTGGCCCTCGCCCTCCACGAGCTGCTCCTGAGGCACGTGGAAATGACATCTTCAACAGCTGCAGACTGGCCTGTGCTGCTTCCCTGGCAGGTAACCCCTTCTTGCACACAGCCTCTGCACCAAGCACCCGGTGGGAGACACAGGGGGGTGAGGGTTTACAGCCTCACATCAAGGTGACCCCTTTCTTATCTCAAGATGAGAGAGATCAAGGAAATGAAAGATGGGTATTCGAGTACTTCTCATTGTAACTGTCACCCATGCTTGGGGAACTGTGTGATGGGGTACTCCTTTTCTAATTCTTTCATTAGAAACTGCATCCCAGAACGTCTTTCAAATGGGAGACAATCCTGTCGTGCACATATTCAAAACAAAGCTCATGACAAAAGGCAGGGATGACAAACTGGTCAAGTCTGTACTTTTCGCTGAAATGTTTTGATATCCGCAAATACGTTGACATCATCTTCAGGACCCTGACTGTATCCCTGTATGCTAAATGTCTCCCGCGGTTGTCTTTCTGAGAAGCCCCAAGGGACTCCTTTAGTGAGGACTGCAGCCCACATCTCAACGCTCTAGACAACACCCTGGATACTTGTAAATAAACTTGCTTCTTTCTCCAGAGATGGTGTGAGAAGAGCTCCTCTCCCTTAAGGGTGCGTGACAAAAAACTCAGCCTCTGCCAGAAAGAAATCCTGGTTGTCAGGAGGGAGGAGAGTGGATTACATACAGACTTTCACGTGGCCATTGAATGTCCTTACCCTTCGATGTGTCTTCCTTCTAGCTCCATCCGTTTCTGAGGACACTCCAGTTTGTAAACAGCGCTGGCAGCCACATATCCCTGGATGAAACCAGAAACCCTTCAGTCCAATATGACATCCACAATGTTGTGAGTTTCCCGACCGGTCTTGGACTGCTGGTTAAAATGGGAGAGGTTTCCTCCACGAATTCAGAGGAGCCAGTCCTGTTCATGCATGAGGAGTGGATAGAATGGCCCGTTGCATTCGTCGAGGTATGCTTCCATTTCCAGAGTGGGACCGAGCCATGAACACACTCCTAAAATCACATGTACTGCAAACCCTTCAGCTTAGCACTCAATCCACCTTGGCTCTGTTGATTTTTCTGCCTGTGTTGTACGCTGTGTCTGTCCTCACCAGTTCTGCAGCAGTTTAGGGAATGAAGTGAGATTAAAACACATTCATAGAAATACCAAACATAGGTCTCCAGGTGCATGGTCGGAATCTCCACCCTGAGCCATGCATGCTTGGAACCTCAGTTATGCACTGATGTAGAAGATAGGGAAGCGGTTTATGACCTGACATGAGAACATGTCTTTGGGCACACTGTGTCTGCTGTCCCACACATGGGCATACCGTTCAGTTTCCAACCTTTGTTCAACAAAGCTTCTCTAAGCAATGACTATGATCTATGTGGTCTTTCCAAACAGGAACTGTCCTAAGCCATTTAGGCGACAGGTGTGTCTGCCATCCCACAGTGCTCCTATATGGAGGAGAAGGCTCTGCTCTGCCTCAGGAGCCCAGAGTAGTGTCTGAACTCATCACTGCCTTAGGTTATTTTGCGCTAATGTTAAAGTCTTGTTCACCAACCCGGGGGAGACCATGACGAACCGGTGAAAGCGTTTCAACTGTTCACTGGGAAATCCAAGCGTGACTTTTTCATACTAGACGTTTCCCAGGAATGTTTCTGAGTATGCCTCATCTCCTCACGCACAGGCTCTCTCAGAATCTTTATATTACAGGAACCTATGTTGCAATAAGTTTGAAGGGGAGAGAAAAACCAAGAGTGTTGCTATTAACACTTTATGAAATAAAGGTGCTCAGATGCCTTGTGTAAAGACAAATAAGAAGCCCAAACATCAAAGAGGAAGTTAGAGGATATTAGACTTGTAGACATAACTGTGGAGGGAGATGGAAGGATGACCTGTCTTTGAAGGCCCATGTCTTCTGTGTTGAGGCGCTAAAAATCAGCCACCCTATCAAAGTGGCTGCTAACCTGCAACAACTGGCCAAGACTTCCTTGTTTCTTTGCAGGCTCCCCAGTCTGTGTGCAGCCAGAGTTGCTCTCCAGGATTCATGAGAATTCCACAGGAACGAAGACCTGTCTGCTGCTTTATCTGTGTCTTGTGCCAGGACGGAGGCGTTTCCAATCAGACAGGTAGAAAATGTGTCCCTTCCCTTCACTAACTTTACCCCTCTCATCTCAATAGAAAGGAAACCAAGAATACTGGGAACTGGGTTCATAACACTACAGTTTCCAAAGCACACACCCATTCATGCTTTTGCTACATCCATCCTATAATAATCACCACTACTCTCCCAATAGCTGTCCGTTTATCCTCTGGGGAGACTCATCCCATGAGCTGAGCTGAACCTGTGGCACTGATTCTAAGAGAGACTTAGTAGCTCTCTCTCTTTAGCCACCACTTTTGAGTTAAACCAGCCTCAATCAGATTTCCTGGAGAGATCTGGCCATAGTCTACCAAGAAACGGAAGATGTCATCATGTTGACTGTACTCAAGGGATAAATAAAAAGCAAGTACAAGTCAACATGCTGGAAACATTTGATCACTTCCTACATCACACCTTAAACAAACAGTACAAGGTACAAAAGAGTTAACATCAGGCCCCTATGCTTTGAAAACATCCTCTAGGAAAGACAAGGAGCAAGTTGGAACACGAACACGACATCCTAAAAGCAACAGTGACAACAACAAACTCTTCTAGAAATACTTAGTACACTAGTACACACTTCAGGAATTATATCTCAAAACAACAACAACAAAAAGTGTAAAAGAACCAGTTTTAAATATTTGGGGCTTTCAAACTGTCAAGAATATTGTCGAGATCTGAATGGCAACCTTAAGCCTTTGCCATTTCAATCATTTTAGCAAAGAGGAATCACGGAGTTGGTTACTTGGCAGAGAACAAGTACGTCTTCCCTCTTTCAGGAAGGATATGGACCGATACATAAAGATATCAACATGAGGAAGAAATTCAGGAACATAGAACTCGAGATGCATAATACAAAATCCAAGGGGCCTGTGTGCATCTGGCATGTCTCTGGGACAGAAGCCTGGAAAATAATGGGTGACTCAAAGCGGAGAACATGGCACCTTCAGAAAAGCTATGTAGATGTGAGAGAAAGATCCACCCTAGATTATTTGAGAATCTGGTAGCACTCTGAGTATCCCCTGAAAAACCTGAGTAAAATCTTTAGAGGAAAAAAACAAAACAACAGCTACCCAGCATCTATTTCCATAAACAGTATTCAGACAAAAGGCCCACGGTCCTATCTGCTGACTCACTGTGACACCAGAGGTGAGCTTTTTTTTTTTTTTAAAGATTTATTTTTATTACAAAGTCAGATATACAGAGAGGAGGAGAGACAGGGAGGAAGATCTTCTGTCCGATGATTCACTCCCCAAGTGAGCGCAACGGCCTGTGCTGTGCCGAATCCGAAGCCAGGAACCAAGAACCTCTTCCAGGTCTCCCACACGGGTGTGGGGTCCCAAGGCTTTGGGCCGTCCTCCACTGCTTTCCCAAGCCACAGGCAGGGAGTTGGATGGGAAGTGGAGCTGCTGGGATTAGAACCGGCGCCCATATGGGATCCCAGCGCATTCAAGGCAAGGACTTTAGCCGCTAGGCCACGCAGCGGGGCGCTAGGGGTGAGCTCTTAAAGCCAACACGGCAGGGAGTACAAAGCTGATAGAAATTATGACATTCTCCCAATGTATTATAAAATATTTATGAACAAACCATTTTGGGGACATTAATGAATGGAAACTGTGAAAATGCAATCTACCCTTCAGTCATTCGATTAAAATACTCAGCCTTGTAGAAATGAACAGTGGCTAGGTTATTTTAATTCTTCAAAAATAACATTTATATAAGAAAGGGGACAAGAACCTACTAACACTGAAAAATATGTAGAATGAGGAATGATGTGTCCTACCAGATATCAAATAAAACACAAAAGAATACAGTCCCTATTAGGAAATTGATAAGCCAATTTATCCCAGGAGGATGACCAAGTCCCATTTCCTCCTCTAAGCATGAAAGAAGACTTCAAAAGCCACTGTCCCAAGCCAGTCCTCCAGCTGTGGTGCTGTAGGCTCCTCTTAAGGCAAACGTGTGGTATAGATGAAATCAGGATAAGCAGCATCCATAACTATGGTGATAGGATGAGCTAACTCAAGGCCTCACACCCTCTGAACTGATTGGCTCCCGGCAGCAGCAGGCTTACTCCCTAGATCAGAAATGCACCCTTAAGTAGTCCTGGCAATCCATCAGACATAACTTACACTTGCCAAGATGATCCTTGCTTTCCATGAGAAAAAAATGAAAACCTCGTAACACAGAAACTCTGAATTCTTCCTCAGATGCAGAGCAGTGCATCCAGTGCGCAAAGCATGAGTACCCAAACAGGGAGAGAACTCGTTGCCTCCCAAGGTGGTGACATTCCTGGCCTTAGAGGATTCCCTGGGGACAGTCCTGGTCTGTATGGCTCTGGCCCTGTCCCTCATCACAGCTGTGGTCTTGGGGATCTTTGTGAAGCACCAAGACACACCCATCGTCAAGGCCAATAACCGCAACCTCAGCTACATCCTGCTCATCTCACTCCTCCTCTGCTTCCTCTGCTCCTTCCTCTTCATTGGCCGTCCCAACACAGCCACCTGCCTCCTAAGACAAATCACATTTGCCCTGGTGTTCACAGTGGCTGTTTCTGCCGTGTTGGCCAAAACCATCACTGTGGTTCTGGCCTTCAAGGCCATGAAGCCTGGAAGGACCATGAGGCGATTGCTGGTGTCAGGAGCCCCAAATGCTGTCATTCCCATCTGCTTCCTCATCCAATTGACTCTCTGTGCCATCTGGCTGGCAACATCTCCTCCCTTTGTGGACACAGATGCACACTCTGAGCATGGACACATCATCCTCTTGTGCAACGAGGGCTCCATCACTGCCTTCTACTGTGTGCTGGGCTTCCTGGGCTCGTTGGCCCTGGGCACCTTCACTGTGGCTTTCCTTGCCAGGAAGCTGCCTGACACGTTCAATGAAGCCAAGTTCCTGACATTCAGCATGCTGGTGTTCTGCAGTGTGTGGGTGACCTTCCTGCCTGTGTACCAGAGCACCAAGGGGAAGGTGATGGTGGCCGTGGAGGTCTTCTCCATCTTGGCCTCTGGTGCTGGTCTCCTGGGCTGCATCTTTGTCCCCAAGTGCTACATCATTCTCATAAAGCCTGAAATGAATTCTTTGCAAGTTTTAAAGACTGCAAGAGATTCTAGGAGAAACAGGCTGACTGTCATGTTATCCAGCAAGCCCTTGTCACAATGATCGCCCATCATGCCCCTGACAGCCACCTGCTCTGAAGAGGCAGCCACTGGAGCATTGAGCTTCAGCCCTTCTGGAAGCCCAGGCATGGGAACAGTCTTGCACCAGAAGCTGTCCACATACGAATGTATTCAACTAATTTCTACATTTTCCCTTATGCTGCCTATATTTGAAGTTCCCAAGGATTATTTACATGTTTGAGTTTCCTTTTGCTCAACTCTGATAAACTTTGTCATTTTACTGTTGGCATGCGTTACTTGGGATGTTTTCTTATTACCAGACTGAACTAGTCAAGGAAAATGCTTTATTGAGCATACTTTATTGTAGCCTAACCATGTATCAAATCGTTGTGCAACTCTTTGGGAATCCCTTTTTTAAAATCATATATGCAAGCTTTGTATGCACACACACAGAACTGCATCTAACATCACATCCCATCTGGCAGCTTACTGCCTTTCCTATCATGGCACCTAGTTTTCTTTCCTCTGTTACACCCTGGAGAGAACGTTTTCTTTCTCACCCACATCAAAGTCCAGTAATAAATAGTAACCATTTTCTCCATGAAATTACGGGGAGCCAAACCCTCACCACAGCAGGCAAGCCTGGCCCTGGATGCTTGCGTGCCAAAAACCCCTGAGATGCCTTATCTGCTTGCCTGCTACTGTTCCAACCGAGCTTCATGCTCACAGGCACAGGTGATGGCTCATGACCTTGGGTCCCTGGGAGATCCAGATGGGGCTCCAGGCTCCTGGTTTCAACCAAGAAAAGTGCTGATTTCTCAGAGCATTTTTCATGTGAACCTATTAGAATCTATTAGAATTTCAAAGTTCTCTGTTGCTCTCTCAAGCCCAAATCAGTTCCTGGACCACTCTGACTTTCCCATTGCACACAGGACATTCAAGAGGCAGTGCAGTCATCAGCTCTATATATCTTGGGGAGTGTTTCTCACCCTGTTACCCCACCACGACCCAGGAAGCAGTCAGGCGGACATGGAGGCCACAGCACCAGCATCTCCTGGTGCATTTACCTGTCACATGGACTCGCAGATGCAAACCTGGATCTCTCACACTCAGCACTGTTGACAGGTTCACGCACAGGGTAGCCCCCAGTCGCTTTCCAGCTTTCCACTCAGCAGATGCACCACGTTGTTTTCATCCACGTTAGGGCTGTCTTCCCTTTGCCTGCTATACACAGCTCTCCACGAGCGCTGGTGTCTGATGATTCTGATGATCTGTCATAGGGTGTATTATCACCTCTACTGATTGACCCCCTGGGAGTGGAAAGGCTGGGCTATGTGGCAATTCTTCCTTTATCTTTCAACATGCCACCCAACGCTTTCCTATAGTGCTTGCAGTCTTAGCAGCAATGTGTAAATGCCCCAGGTCCCCCACATCTGAGGAACAGATACCTGAATGTCACTTGGAAGTCTACAAGGGGGTGAGAGGTTATTTTGAACCTCAAGCTCTTCACAGATTTGCTAGTAAAAGCCAACTCCCTGGGACCACACGGTGGCGCTGGAGCACCTGCCCAGAGTCCCTGATTCCGAGATGCTGAGTCAGGAATGTTTTGTCTATTGAAGCTGAAGTGGGGGGGTCCCCAAGCCTAGGCTCCCCATCTCTGGTGTGAGGGAACACCCCTCAGCGGTGAGGCACTGGATTATTGCTAACATTCTGGAAGGCAAATAGAAGGCCTGCACCTGCTGCCTTTCACAGCTTCTTGAATTCACACACAGTAAAACAACCAAAGGATGGCTTGAGGGGTGAGCAGGGTGAGGCAGTGTGGAAGCTGCTGGGATTCCCCTGGGGGAGGGGGGGATGATCTGGGCACATTCAGGAAGGTTGCTAAAGGCAGGTTCCCAGGGCCTGCCCTGCAGCCCCCACCTGCTGGCCTGCTGACATTTGCACAACGAATCCCACCTTGACTAGGAAGCTACTTCAGTGTGTTCAAGGCAAAATGGAATTTAACTGTGGCGAGGGAAGGCGCACAAACACTTGTGAGACGTACATGTGGTTTTATTTTCATTTCCCATAGCATTGCCCATTGGCCTGGACACAGCTTATCCCTCCCAAGAGCTCATGTGGTGGGACTCTGATCCCCAATATGGTGGTGGTAAAAGACTGGGGTGGCACCATGATATGACAGGCTAGCCTCTGCCTGCAGAGCCAGCATCACATATGGACAGAAGTTCATGTCCTGGCTGCTTCACTTTCCCATCCAGCTCCCAGCTTGTGGCCTGGGAAAGCAGGAGAGAACGGCTGAAAGCCCTGGAACCCTGCACCCTTGAGGAAGACCCGGAAGAAGCTCCTGACTTTGCATCAACTCAGCTGCCATCATTACAACCCCTTGGGGAGTGCATGAGTAGACAGAGGATCCTTCTCTGTGTCTCTCGTTCTCTCTGTAGATCTTTAATACAAATAAAACTAGATCTTTTAAAAAGAGTTTGTGGGGGAAAGTGGGAGTAAAAGATATACTTATTCTGGTAGGTAAAGTGTGTGTGTGTGAGTGTGTGTGTGTGTGTGTGTGTGTGTGTGTGTGTGTGTGATGTGCTTGTAGTGTTTTCCCATTTTAATGGAAGAATTTCTCCAACCCTTCCCCTAGTCACCGTACAACTTTGTGGGCTCAAGACTGTGCAGATCCCCCCTCTTCCAAGCACAGGTACCCTGCTACTCCCCAAGACTCAACACAGTAAAAGTGAGTAAGTAAAAGTAGATATGAGAAGATGTAACACACTTTCAGAGTGTCTTAGCATTATATAGACACTGACATTATCCACATAGGATACATGAAATGTGGAACTTTCTGACTCTTCCATTGCCAGAAGAGCCATGCTCAAAGAAAGGGACACGGCTATTGTATCTTCATGCTGATCTGAGGTTTGGATAACACCATGATTGTTTTTACTCAGGTAAGACTGTCTCAGCCTGTGCATTAAGTCTGGGGGAGAGAGACACAGAAGGTAAGGAATAAATCAGAAACACATCCCATTTTATGCATCGTCTCTCTCCATTCCGATGCTTGTGTCAGGGCTGTGTCAAAAGCCAACAAGAGGAGTCAGACGAGGCTGGGTGGCTGGAACCAGGATGTCCCAGAGGTGGTCAGATGTACAGGTCTGAGCCAGGACCAAACATGGATCCCATGTACCCTACTAGGCTATCTTAACTACACACAAATAGTAAATAGGAAGAAGGACATAATATTTTATACACATGAATGCAGCTAAAAACAATTTTGGGTTGCAATCTCTTCAAATATGATAGTGAAAACTTTTGAAAAAATATTTAGACATGCTTAAAACCTGCTTTTTTCCTTAAGCTTTTCAAAGAATTCTTTTCAGGCTTTACGAGAATAATGTAGCATTTGGGGACAAAAATGCAGCACAACAGACCCACATCAGAGGCCAAGATGGAGAAGACCTCCACGGCCACCATCACCTTCCCCTTGGTGCTCTGGTACACAGGCAGGAAGGTCACCCACACACTGCAGAACACCAGCATGCTGAATGTCAGGAACTTGGCTTCATTGAACGTGTCAGGCAGCTTCCTGGCAAGGAAAGCCACAGTGAAGGTGCCCAGGGCCAACGAGCCCAGGAAGCCCAGCACACAGTAGAAGGCAGTGATGGAGCCCTCGTTGCACAAGAGGATGATGTGTCCATGCTCAGAGTGTGCATCTGTGTCCACAAAGGGAGGAGATGTTGCCAGCCAGATGGCACAGAGAGTGAGTTGGATGAGGAAGCAGATGGGAATGACAGCGTTTGGGGCTCCTGACACCAGCAATCGCCTCATGGTCCTTCCAGGCTTCATGGCCTTGAAGGCCAGAACCACAGTGATGGTTTTGGCCAACACGGCAGCAACAGCCACTGTGAACACCAGGGCAAATGTGATTTGTCTTAGGAGGCAGGTGGCAGTGTTGGGACGGCCAATGAAGAGGAAGGAACAGAGGAAGCAGAGGAGTAGTGAGATGAGCAGGATGTAGCTGAGGTTGTGGTTATTGGCCTTGACGATGGGTGTGTCTTGGTGCTTCACAAAGATCCCCAAGACCATAAGAGTGAGGAGAGTGAGGGTCAGAGCCATGCATGCCAAAGCCATCCCCAGAGAATCATGAAAGTCCAGGAAGGTCACCAGCTTGGGGAGGCAGCGAGTTCTCTCCTTATTTGTGTACTCCACCTCTGGGCACTGGATGCACTGCTCTGCATCTGTAGGACAGAAAGAGACTCATGATTTCCCTTGCATTAACTCAGAATCTTTCCTCATTGTGAAAATGGTCACTCTACAATGCCCCTTTGTGTACAGATTGTTAGGGTGTTCTATTATGTCATACAAGAACAAGTTTTTGCATTTCTGACTCTTGGAGAATTCTCATCTGCAGAATAAGAAATATTTCCGAAAATTGCTGCTTGACCATGGCTTTAATACTTTAACTTAGACGGAGAATTAAATGATCTCTCAGTTCTATGATATCCACACTCTCAAGAGGACTCTAGATTCAACCATGGACTCATCCTGCAAATTCTTTCATTCAGAGGTTGGGATGATACTGCTGAAACAATGTGTAGCCGTATTAGCCCTATTGTTAACATGAGATTGTTTGGTGATATTTTCATCACCATTATTGCATTTTATAATTGTTAAAGCTTCCGTTGCGTGTTCACATGAAGGCATGGGTTATTCAGCTTTTTGGTTCAGATCATGTATGAGGAACACCGAGAGTGTGGGACATCATATTATGTCTTGAAACAGATCAGTGAGGCTTCTATAACATGAAAGACACCACCATGGCCGGGTTAGTAGGTGGGTGTGTCTCTGCTTCAATGAAATATCAATGAAACGTTGAGAGAGTTGTTACTTGGGTCACATTACTTTGTGGTCTTCTTCCACTTTGAAATATTGTGACTGTTGGGATGATTGGCATTGGGACACTGGATGAAATCTGAAGATTTATCTATTGATATGTTTATGTGTGATATTTAAGACATAACGGTTCTTCTTAGTGAGTCTGAGTGTACT